GTTTGTGTTACGGCCCAACCCAACCTGTCCCACACTCCATTCTGGTGCTTGGATTCACCAGCAGGTGATATGAACTGGCCCAGCCTGCTTCACCCCAGACCTGTGCCAAATATATGCTGGTAGGTACCATTACCTGACTCGGTCTAGGCTGCTCCCTATTGTGGTTCTTGCGCTCACCTGCAGGAACTGTGTCCTGACACAGGAGTTCCCCAAACTCTTCCATCCAAACCTCTCCCAATGCCAGATTTCATGCACACCACTAGGTCCATAGGCCAGTCCTACCAGTCCTACTTAGTCCATCTCTAATCCTATCAGGAACAGTGGCCTTTCCTGACCAGTCTTCATCCATTCCAGTTTTTACTGTTGGGTGTTACAGCCCAGCCAAGCCTGGTCCACACCCAGACACAGGCTCACACATGGCTCAGCAGTAACAGAGGCCTAGCTCAGCCTGTCCTACAGCTACCCTGGTTCTCATGAGCACCAGCAGGTGCTAGAGTCTAGCCTAGTCTGGCACACCCCAGACCCAGTCCACACTTGTGCTTAGGAAGACTGCAGCCATATCCAGACCAGATAGCAGCCCCCACTCTGGCCCTTGAACTCACCAATGGGGACCACAACCCAGCCAAGGCATCTCCTTAGCTCCCCAACCACGCCTGTTCCCAGCCACAGATCTTGCATGTGCCAGTAGTTGCTGTGAACCAGCTTGGCATAGTCCTTCACCTGTCTTGGCCTTTACTTTTACCAGGCTGTAGCCTGGCCTGACCTGGCCTGCCCTCAGTCCAAACTCTCACTGGCAGGTGGTGCTGGAACCTGGCCCTGTTCAGTCTGCTCCCATCCCTGGCTCATGCAAACTGGTAGGTGCGATAGCCCAGCTTGGCATGACACGTACTCCAGCCTGGTTTCTGCACTTGCCAGTGAGCTAAGTTATACTCAGCCTTGCCCAGTCCATCCCCTTCCAAAACCAACCTACACACCTGGCAGCAGATTGAGCTACTGTGCCCAGCCTACCTGACCTCCAGGCCTGGACTATGTGCTCATCAGCAGGAGCTATGACTCAGTAGGGGAGTTTTCCACGATCCCCTACTCAGCCTACTCTCAGATCCAATTCTCACACATGCCAGTGGATGCTAGGCCCTTGCCTGGCATAGCCTGTTTCTCCATCATGGCCTTTGAATGAGCTGGTAAATGTTGTGGCCCAGCCCACATCACGCCCTATTTTAAGATGCACAATGCGGGTGCTGCAGCCTGGATCTGCCCAGACTATTCTCAGCCCCCGTACCTGTGAGTGTTGGCAGATACCATGGTCATGACTAGCTCAGCCCATCACCACCCCAACTCTTGAGCTAACCAGTGGGACTTGTATTTCCACAGGGCTGGGCCCACTTATCCCCTGCATAATCTACCCTCAGACCTGGTTCTCTCACATACTGGTTAGTGTCATGACCCTGTTCCTGAACTCAGTTAGCTACTGGGATCTAGCCCTGCTAGGCAGGCCCCCAGCCATAGCTTTTATGTGGGCTGCTGTGTGGTGGTCCGCAATGCTCCATGCTAACAAGCCCATCTCAGGACTCCCGGGGCTGGTGCATTGGTCTGACCCATGTGAATCTCCCACTCACTCCCCTCCAAACCACTAGGTCTCAGCTCCCTCACTTACCTGTGATTATAGTGGCCCTGTTTTTAGGAGTCCCTCAGGATTCATTCCTCACCTACACATAGGGTGGCCTTATCCATGGATGTCCCAAGGCAGTAATTCCACACCCCCAAGTCTCTAGGGCTCGCCTCCAGGCAGCCAGTGGGCAAAGCCCAGTACAGGTTGGCACACTGGCCACTTGAGTAAGATGGTGCCAGCTCTTTGCCTTTGGGTATCACTAGACAGTTCTTGAAGTTCTCTCAATGGATTTGTGATGCAGTGATAAAGTATGCAAGGGGAAATAATCTGTCATCATATGGTTGCATATTTTTTTAAGCAGCAGGAGTCCCCATACATAAGTGTCTCTCAAATCCGCACTCCACATGCAGCAATCCATTACTGACCATTCTGAGTGTTCTTTCAAGTCACTGCCTTGCAAGGACTCCATTCCTGGCAAACTGACCCCAGATGAAGATAAGTGGGTCTAACACAAGGTGGCCAAATCTTATGGGATCCCATATGGGCACCGGTCCGTGTCCCAGGTGTTCCTCTTGCCATTTATTTTCCTGCTTGTGGCCTGGGAAAAGCAACGGAGAATGACCCAAAGCCTTGGGCCCATGTGGGAGACCCAAAAGAGGTACCTGGATCCTGGCTTCAGATCGGCTCAGCTCTGGCAGATGTAACCACCTCGGGAGTGATCCAGCAGACAGAGGATCTTTCTCTCTGTGTTTCTTTCTCTCTGTATATCTGCCATTCCAATAAAAAATAAATCTTTAAAAAGACGTAGGTCAGCTTTTGTCTTATAAAACCAGTTATTAATTCTAAGTTGTTTACATTTCAGAGCTGAAATTGGTTTGAGCTCGTTAGAAACTGTAACTATAAATCCATACTCATGAGTTGTTTACAATACCCAAAATACAAAGAATGACATGGGTTCTTGGCCAGTGTGTGAGAACCACTGTGAAAAGGCATGCTGCTAGCAATACTGCTACTTACATAATGCCTGTGGTAAATTCTGTATTAATGCTAAAATAAACTGCTCTTCAAATGTCAAAATCTCCAAAAACTGCATTGTAATATTAATGGAAAGGTTTCAAACATACAATGTATTTTTTTTTAATTTCAGGTAGAAAAAATATGGAAAAATATCACTTGTAATTCATAACAACTTAGTACATTGAAATTATGGTGACCTGGGCCTGGAATGGTAGCCTGGTGGCTGAAGTCCTCGCCTTGCATGCATCGGGATCCCATACGGGCACCAGCTCACACACCAGCTGCTCCGCTTCCCTTCCACCTCCCTGCTGTAGTCAAGGATAGCCCAGAGCCTTGGGAACCTGCATCCACATTGGGCACCTGGATAGAACTCCTGGCTCCTGGCTTCGGATCAGTTCAGCTCCTGTTATCGCAGCCACCAGGGGAATGAAACAGCAGATGGAATTTCTTTCTCTCTGTGTCTCCATCTCTCTAAAAATCTGACTTTCAATAAAAATAAATAAATCTTAAAAAAAGAAAAAGAAATGACAGTGACCTGGTTAGCACAATCCTGCCTTTAAAAATACGTACAGGTTGAATTTATCAGCTTCTCCTTTTTCTTCTCCTCTTAACTGAGTTCTCAAGTAACTTCTATTGTTATCCGTATTAACTCCATACAACAAACCTGTACTCAAAACCTCTACCAGGCAAAAAACAAGCAACAAACAAACAAACAAACAAACTCAACTGTGCGGATGGTTGCTGGGAAATGTGAAAAATAGTTCCAAGACCCAAACCACAAGAGAATGACTGTAGTGGGACCCGTGTTGCTGTTTTCCTGCCTTCCTTGTGGGAAATGTGGCTGCAGTTCTGGCTCGAGCCCGGCCCTGTCCCAGTTGCTACCGGCACTGGAGGAGTGAACTAGCAGGTGGCCAATCTCTCTCCATGTCTCTTTCAAATAAAAAAAATTTTTTAATTGAAAAAACGAAAGCTAGTACTTCAAAACAAAGAGAAATGGATAAGGAAGGAGGAAATGTTTTTCCTTAAAAACAAAACACAGTAAGTTATTTAACACGCAGGGAAAAAGGACCCTACGTCTTCAGTTTTCTCAGTGCTTTTTCAGTCTCACTTAAGGGAGTCAAAATCCAGCTCATAATATTGACCATGGTCGTGAATGTGTGGCTGTCAACACCTGTGAACAAAGATCCACCCTAACCCAGGGCCGTGGGCCACTGCCCATGAAGGGAACAGGGGCAGACCCAACTTTGCGGTCGGGAGTAGTAATCGGGAGTAGTAATCGTAGCCACCATCCAAACAAGGATGTCTCCAATTAAGGACTTTCTAGAGACTTCTCAACGTTCAGTAGCAGCTAAGTCCAACCAGCACGGGCCTGAGGTAAGTGACTAGACGAATCCACACGCAAAAGGCACTCTCACTGGCACACTCCTATCGCACTAACGCAACAAAAACTTAGGAGATGAAGAATTCACACCAAACACGGAGGCAGGATTAACTCGAGGCCGCATGTAAACTGCTTCAACGCAAAGGCAGCAGCCCACATTGGAAGGCACTCACATTCCAAGTTGTAGCCTAGTGGGTAGTGGCATTGTCTGTGAGGCTGCCACCCCATATGGGCGCTGGTTCGGGTCCAGCCGCACTATCCAGCTCCCTACTAATGGCCATGTGTCGGGGCCCCTGCACCTGAGAGACCAGGATGGCGCTCCTGGCCCTGGGCTGCGGTCACCTGGGGAGTGAAGCAGCAGGTGCAAGCTCCGGCTCAAGTCAATCTTAAAGAAAAAGAAACGAGGGGTCATGAACCGGCTTCCTACCTGATGAGAACTCTGGGAAGTTGGCGTACTGAGACGGCAGCAGCGCCGCCCGAACCCGTGCACGCCAACGCCCCTCTTGCAAAGATGGGAGCGGGAAGCGGGGAAGGCGCAGGGGGCGACGAACACCCCGAACCCCGCCACCCGCACCACCGGAGGAGGCAGGCCCTGAGCTGTCCCGGGACAGCGAGGGCGCGGCTGGCCCCACACTCTGACGGACCGACGAGTAACACCCATCAGGTAACCCCTCGTCCTCAACCCTCCTGCGGGACACCTGCCAAGCCGCACAGCCCGCCCTCAAACACAGCCCGCGTGCCCGCGCTCGGCGCACTGCGCCTGCGCACTGGCTGCCCTGCGGATGCCCGTGCGCGCGCCCCGCCCCGTGCGAGGCTGTGCCCGGGGCGGCGCGCGCATGCGCGTTTCCGGCAGCCGCAGCGCTCCCAAGGCTCAGGGAAGCGGCGGATGTCAGGTGTGCCGCCTGACCCACCGGAAGGCACTCTGTCCCTGCTTCCCCGTTGCACTGACGGAAACCGTAGCACGGGAAGAGAGGTTCCGGGGCTAGACAGGTCCACCGGCGGCGGCGGCATGGAGACCCGGACCGAGGACCGGGAGCCGACCGGCCGCCCGACGCTCGCCTCGTCCTGGGACGCCGCAGGCGGAGTCCTGACCCAAAGCCTGCTCCTCGTCCGGGCTGGTGTCGGCACCCGGGACCCGGACTGGGAGGCGCTGCTGGCACCGCCAGCTCCCGGGTGCGGCGGGGACCGGGGCGGCCGCGCTCCCGCGGGGTCAGGAGGGCTGGGAGGGGACGGGGTCGGACCCGGGGCGAGGCCGCGGCAGGGAGTGGGCATGGTGGCCTGCAGCGCCGACGGACGCCTCGCGTCTCCTGCCCCCGCTGCAGGACAGGCGGTGTCCCCCGCGGTGGTCCCTGGCCGCCTCGGCGCCACGACACGAGCTGGACTAACTGGGGCTGCTTGTGGAGGGGCTAGATGCAGTGTGATCAAGAAGGTGGCAGCCCCGCTGTGTCCATCCTCCACTTCCTGAGGAATTGGGTGCTCGCCCTCCCCCTGGGGTGGGGGGTGGGGTGAGGAGGAGCGTGGGGCCTGAGGGTGGGGGACCGGGGTACGGGAAGAAGCAGCCTGCCCGGCTCAGGATGCCCCTCCAGAGTCCTACCCCTGGGCAGGGGATGGCCGGGGTCCTTGGGTCCCCGCCACTTATGTGGGAGACCCAGAAGGAGTTCCTGGCCTCTGGGCTCAGCCTGGTCCAGCCACAGCTGCTGCGGGCATTTGGAGGGTGAGCCGGGCATGGAAAATCTCTTTCCATCTCACTGAAGGGGCCTGTGGCCTGCGAAGTGGGCTCGGGGCCGTGGTCAGAGACCAATGCTGGGTGACATTGTTTTCCAGTCTTCCCCTCAGCCAGGAGCTGGTGCGGCTGCAGAGGAGTGCGGGTGGCGGGGAGGACAGCCCATGCCTCCTCTACCTCATGTGTGACCCTGACGCGGCGGAAGAAGTCGCGGCCGTTGGCATTTTAAGCTCAGCGAGAAATATGGAGGTGTACTCATGCCAGGAGTACTGTGGGACCAGTCGGGGCCGGAGCGTGGGTGCCGCCCTGAATGGCAGGTGCGTGTGCCTCGTGCTCGTGGGTATGTTCTGCATGGGTGATTGTGTGTCCCAATTGGCGGTTCGTGTTGGGAGGGAGATGACACGTGGACCGCTTAGACCTTGGAGGCTGTGGGAGATGGTCTGGAGCAGCGTGGTTGCATTCGAGCGACAGCGGGGAGGTGAGCTGTAGATCTGTGTCAGGGGACACCGCGGCCCTTGGGATGTTGCCGGCTGACCAGCTTCCGTCAGGGGTAGTGAGACATGCTTCTGTGGCAGTGAAGAGGTGGTCCCTCAAGAACTCGCCTCCCCAAGATGCAATCGGCTGTGGCTTCTGGGGGGAAGAGGGAGGGTCCAAGATATAGCAGAAGGCGGCGAGGGCTCAGTGCGCCATGCGCATCTTTGTGCCAGCTCATCCACTGTATGACCAAGAAACACGAGTCAGTAGCACGGTGAAGCGAGTTCGTGGCAGGTGTGTGCTCCTGCGTTAGGCTGTGAAGCTCTGACCAGGCCTGGGGCCTGGTGCCTGGGCGTGCTTGCCCGGGTGGCCCTGTGCCGCTGGAGTGGCTCTCCTGGCACATCTCCCGGGCACAGGTTCTAGGCCAGGGCTTCAGTTCCTGCCTACCTCCCGCCCTCGGATTTGCAGTGCAGTAGTCAGAGCACAGAGGGTGCTTAGCTCTCCAGGAACTCACAGTGATGTGTGTGCCAAGGGCGAGTTTGACAGTTGGCCTGGACTCTGAACATGTGATGTGTAAGGAGACCCTTGCAAGTGGTGCCAAAATGCCCGGCTGCCCCACCTGCCTGCTGTATCCACACTTCAGCCATTTAGAGCTTGCTGTTTGCTCTGCTCTCCCCTCTGTAATCCCCTCTCCTTAGTAGCACTCAAATTATGAGCTGTTATTTTCCTGTTAGAAGTAGTGGCTACATTCATCAAACTTTGCTGTGTGTGCTGTGCGTAAATCCTCTTACGTTCTCTCACGGAGGAACAGTGGGCAGATCCAGTGTTGGTAACCAGGTGCCTTGAGCAGGACCCTTACTCTTTGTTCCAGGCAAACTCAGTCTCAGGACTGACGCTAATGGCCTAGAAAGACATTTTTTAAAATGTACCTGTTTTAAAAAATGATAATCTAAAAGTGTAACAGTGATTTTAATTCTACTTTGTTTTTAGCGAACAAGAGATTACTTTCTACAAAAAATATTTGAAATTGGAACCCCCTACTCGTGCTTGTAAAATAAAGGTAAGTCATCACCAAATTTCAACTCTTTGACATTGCAAGGGTTTTTGACGGCTTCTGATGATCTGTATAATATCAAGGATATACTGATTTACTGTTACTGTCTTGAATTATTTAGTCCAATTCAGTCCCTTAATCTCTGCATATGAAACACTGGGCACAGATCAGACTGTGGCTTTAGCTGCTCCATCTCAGGAAAAATAAGCCAGAATGACAAAGTGACAGTGAAGAGCACCTCAGAAGCTAAAGGAGTTTGGGTTGGAATCTTGAATATGAAAAATGTCATTGTGTAGTGACTGTGTGTCTGAGCAGGGCGCTGCTGTGGTGCGGAGTGGCTCAGTGACCTTGGGCAAGTCTCTTCAGCTTGTTGACCTACCTCATGAGCAAATAACGGGTGTGCTAGAAAACTCACTGTATTAATTTGATCTCCACACAGGGTTAATCACAACTGATCTTTTTAGGAGGCTAGTAGCAGACTTTGGGAATGACTTACTCTGAGATGTTGAGTTAGCTAGTATGCTGGTACGTGGTGGCTTCCAGAGCTGTTCAGTGACAGTGCTTCACTCAGTGAGTGGGCACCTGTCAGTGCAATGTGCCTCTAGCTCTCAGGAGTCAACCCTGGGAGTGGCTTCAAAGACAAATGGAAACATTGAATTCCAAGATGATTTGCTCAGCCCAATGCCAAGCCCAATGCCATGGCTCAATGGCTAAATCCACTCCTTGCATACACCAGGATTCCATATGGGTGCCAGCTTCTATCCCGGCCGCTTCACGTCCCATCCAGCTTCCTGCTTATGTTCTAGGAAAGCAGTAGAGGATGACCCAAAGCCTTGGGACTCTGCACTTAGCTTCAGATCAGCTCAGCTTTAGCTGTTGTGGCCGTTTAGGGACCACCGGACTGATCTTTCTCTCTGTCTCTTCTTTCCTTAAATCTGATCTACCTTTCCAATAAAAATAAATCGTAAAAAAAAAAAGAGAGAAATGACTTCCCATAAACCTTTTGAAGGTCCGTGTGGTAAGTTTAAATGACAGTCTTTGTGTTACTTGTGTTATAGCGGAATAAGCAGACCAAATGAACAAAATGGTACTATATTTGGTGGTAAGAAGGACTGGGGGTTTGGGGGGAAAAAAAGACTGGGATTAATTTCTTTTTTGTGGGGGGGTTTAATCCCCATGGTGCTTTATTATAGTCAGCAGACTGCTCTAGGGTTTTTTGGGTTTTTTTATGTTTTTTTTATTATATTTTTGACAATCTTTACATAGTTAATTAGGGTAAAAGGTTCAAGGGCTATAGGAAAGTGGGTAAGAGTATTATTTCCCTATTGTTTCCTTCATGTTTAAAGGGGGGTATTAAGGGAGAAGGCCCGCCCAATTTCCCACCCTCCCCAGGTCCCGGATGTAGGGTATGCTCTGAGGTTCTTGCTCAAATGGTTTTGATAGTTCAACAGTTATGAATCGCTGCCAATCTTGCCACTCCAAGCACTATGAGGTCTTTGAAGAATCCACTGATTGACATAGTCCATCACAGAGTCTCTGTTTGCCCCCTATTTCGCTGCCAACCTATAGCTGAGATGGTTGATTGACCTGTTTTGTCTTCTCTCTTTTCCTGGTTTGGGTTCTGAGTCCAGCATTTTGATTGGGGAGATGTCCTAAGAAACTTTGTCTGAGGTGTTCTCAGACCAGATTCTTGAATGTGCTAGCAAGTACAGGGCCCGGCACAGTCCATCTCCCCAATCAGTTGGTGGTTGTGATCGCTGGGTCGGTTCTGTTTTCAGCCCCGACTTCCACAAGAACCAATGGGTGTTGCAGTCCAGCCTGACTCTGCCCACCACACACTCGGCCCTCACACAAACCAGTGGGCGCTGCAGCCTAGTTGGAGTGACCCACAATAACCCCCACCAGGCCCGCCCCCTACCTTGGTTTGCCGGTATGTGTAGCAGTGGTCCAGTCTGTCCTACACCCCATTCCACCCCACAAAAACCCTGTTTTTCCACAAAAACCTTGTCCTGGTTTTTGTGCCCTCCAGTGGAAGTGGTAACCCAAGAGGGAGGAGCCCACTAATTCCCTCCCAGGCCTCTCTCACTCCGGGATTGTGCTCTCTCCAGGTAGTTCTGCAGTTTTACTTGACAGAACTAGGCCCCAGTGCCAGCTTCTGCCAGCTGATGCTGCGGCTAAGCCCAAACAACCCTCACCCACTCTAATTTTGTTTGCACCAGTAGGAATAATCAGCCCAGCCTGGCTTTTCCCTGATCTAGGCCACATGAGGCTCACAGGTGTAGCCCTCCTTAGTCTGGTCTGCCCCCATCCCAGCTCACGCTCTCCAGTGGGAGCAGCTGTCCAGCAAAGGAACCACCCCTTATTCCCCTGCCGGCTCCGCCCCCTCCCCTCCTGGTTCTCACGCTTGCTGGTTGGGTGCTGCAGTCACATCTGGGACAGGCAACCTCACCTTGGCATTCCGTATTGTGCACTGGTCATTGTCGCAACCGAACCTGGCTCGATCCACACTCTGTTCTGGTGTTCGGATTCACCAGTGGATGATGTGAACAGATTCAGCCTGGTCTGCCCCCAACCCATGCCAAATGTATGCCAGTGAGTAACTTTCCATGGCCTGTTTTGGGCTGTTTCCTATCATGTTTCTTGCGCTTACCTGCCGGGTCTGTATCCTGCCAGAGGAGTTGCCCAGGCTCCTCCATCAGAACCTCTCCCAAGGCTACATTTCGCGCATACCAGTGGGTCCATGAGCCAGCCCTACTCAGTTCACCTCCTGTCCTAGTAGGAACAGTGGCTTTTCCTGACTGGTCTTCAACCCAATCTGGTCCTTGCTGTTGGATGTTTCAGCCCAGCCATGGTTTGTCCATACCCACATATGGCTCACTCATGGCTCAGTATGGGCTGAGACCTAGCCTAGTCCATCCCACATCTACCCTGGTCCTGCAGGACACCAGAGGGTGTTAGAGTCTGGCCTATCTAGGTATACCCAGCCCCAGTCCACATTTGTGCCAAGGGAGACTATAACCATTTCCCGTTCAAACCAGAGCCACCATTCCAGGCCACGTGCCCCTTGATAAGAGCCTCAACCCAGCTAGGGTTGTCGCCTTAGCTCCCTAACCAGACCTGTTCCCAGCCATTGATTGCGCGCATGCCAGTGGTTGCTCTGACTCAGTTTGGCTCAGCCCCTCACCTGTCCTGACCTCTGTCTTAGACATTGTGGCTTAGCATTCCTGGCTCATGCAGACCAGTAGGTGCAAGAGCCTAGCTCGGCATGACCTGTGCTGCCTCCTGGCACTAGTTTTCGCTTGTGAGCTAAGGTTTGCTCAGTCCTGCCTGGTCCACCCTGTTCCATTACCAACTGACACATTAGCCAGTTGTTGGAGCTACTTTGCCCAGCTTGTCAGACCCCCAGGTCTGGACCATGTGGTTACCAGTGGGAGCTATGACTCGCCAGGGGAGTTTCCCAAGTTCCTCCACTTAATCCACTCCCAGACCCAGTTCTCATACATGCCATTGGGTTTAGGCCAGGTTCCGGCAAAGTCTGGCCTTCCATTTGGCCTTGTATGAGCTGGTGAACATTGCAGCTCGGCCCACCGCACACCCTATTCAGGAAGCACATTTGGGTGCTGCTGCCCTGACCAGTCTAGACTGTTGGGGGTTCCTTTCCCTGTGATTGATGGCAGGCTCCTTGGTACACTTAGCTTTGTTCATCACCACCCCAACTCTTGAACTAACCAATGGGGCTAGAATTTCCACAGGGTTTGGCCCACACATCCCTCACAGAATCTACCCGTGGTTACTGTTCTCGAGTGCTAGTTAATGTAATGGCCCTGCTTAATGTGACCCTTCTCCTGATCCATCATCATGTCAGGTAACAGGTTATGATTCTGATGGACAAACCCCAAGCCATAGCTTTTGCATGGACTGGTATTTGGTGGTCAGCATTGCTCAGTGATTACACGTTTTTCAAAGGAAGAGTTACTGTCATTGGGAACCTTTATGATTGCTTCACGTCCTAGAAGCACAGTGGGTTCAACCTGGAGCTACTTAAGCAGTGATTCAAAGAACCAAACCCCAGAGCTCCCCGGCCGGGCGGCCAGCAGCTAGAGCCTGGCACTAAATGGCGCACTGGCCACCTGGGGACAGCTCACCACATGCACATGGTGGCTGTTGTCTGGGATCCAGGCATGAGACGCCCCGTCCTGAGACCCACCAGCAGCCAGGAGGCTGCTGGAAATTTAAACTCCCAGGCCCAAGGTTGCGCCCCTCCCCAATCTCATTCACTGCCCAATTGGGATTAATTTCTTTATTTTTTTAGAAGATTTATTTGTTTATTTTTATTACAAAGTCAGATATACAGAGAGGAGGAGAGACAGAAAGGACAAAAACAAATGTCTTTAAACACGTATGTATATATATATATATATACACATATACATATACACGTGTTTAAAGACTTTTGTTTTTGTTTCAAAGATTTATTTATTTGTTGGAAAGTCAGATATACAGAGAGGAGGAGAGACAGAGAGGAAGATCTTCTGTCTGGTGATTCACTCCCCTAGTGAGCGCAACGGCCGATGCTATACCGATCTGAAGCCAGGATCCAGGAACTTCCGGGTCTCCCACACGAGTGCAAGGTCCCAAGGCTCTGGGCCGTCCTCGACTGCTTTCCCAGGCCACAAGCAGGGAGCTGGATGGGAAGTGGAGCAGCTGGGATTAGAACCGGTGTCCATATGGGATCCCGGCACGTTCAAGGCAAGGACTTTAGCCACTAGGCCAGGCAGCCAGGCTCCAGGGATTAATTTCTTGAGCAAATGAGTCTGCCCTCTTTTTGTACATCTAGTGATTTTTGTTAGCTTGAAAATGACATTTTAAAAATTTATTATATGTATGTGTGTATATATATATACACATATACATATATACGTGTTTAAAGACATTTGTTTTTATTGGAAAGGCAGATATCCAGAGAAAAGGAGACATTGAGAGAAAGATGTTCAGTCTACTGATTTATTGCCTGTCCCAAGACCTTGGGCCATCCTCTGATGCTTTCCCTGGCCACATGCAGGGAGCTGGATGGGCAATAGAGCAGTTAGGACATGAAGCGGTACCCATATGGGATCCCAGTGCTTGCAAGGCAAGGATTTAGCCACGGAATCGTTGCACCAGGCCCCACACTGTTTTAATAAAGTATTCTTCTGAGCCATACCATAAATCGGAAGTACTGACTATAACTGTTGTAGAGAAACATAAAATGAAAATATGTTTAAAATTTGTAGTTGTCTTTCAGTGTATTTTACAAACAAGTAACCTTGACCTGATGTTATTGTTTATCAATAGTCATTTTCCTGAACTTCTCTCTTAACACTAGTTGCTGTCCTTTGGTGAAGAGCCGTGTGTGCTTGTTGGTAAGGTTGTGGTTCACGTGAGATCAGCTTCACCAAGCTCGTCCACAAGCTCTCCTGCGCTGGGATGCAGGGTGGACCTGGACAAGATCCAGACCATGATGGAATCCATGGGGTCCAAGTTGTCACCAGGGGCCCAGCAGCTAATGAACTTGGTTCGATTCCAGCAGCAAGTAAGTGCAGATGGAGTTGTGTCCACATCACTGAAAATCCCAGTAGGCTTTTGATAAAGAAACATGGTGACTTCGTCTTTCCGTAATCTTCAGAGCTAAAGGAATAGGATGTAACAAGGAAGTGAACACAGATTCATTTCTCTGAAATGAGCAAGTGTCAGGGGAAGGCGAGAAGTAGGATGGAGCTGGGCGCAGAGAGCTTGTTCCAGTGCTGTGTTTGCTGTGTGCATGTTCTGCCTGTGTGTTCAAGCGTGGAAGGTGAATGAGAGGGAACCTCCAGGAGGGACTGGCCGCTCCTGCTGGCCCTCCTCCAGCGAGACGGGACACGGGGCCATGCTGCTGCGTACTGACAGCGCCCCCTGCGTGTTAACCACCACCAAAGTAATGGCATCTTAGGGGCACAGTCAGTGAAGTGGAAGTGAGGCTGTAAGGATGGCAATACTGCTAATTTTTTTAAAGCAACGTTAGAGTAAGATAATCTTTTAAGATGGGACTGTTGATTATGACTCACCTGATATCAACATCCAATGCATTTATGCATATATGACCATTGGAGTTATCAACTAAGTGTTTCTTAGGAATCTTTAGCAGCTCAGTTTAGGTAGTGTGAGATTCAAACCAAATCCTGAGGGATTAAGTAGTAAGTGTGTATATTTAAGATGTGAGGGTACTGCATCCAAGTGGTCCTTTTTTTTTTTTAAGATTTATTTTATTTTTATTGGAAAATCAGATATACAGAGAGGAGGAGAGACAGAGAAGATGATCTTCCATCCGATGTTCACTCCCCAAGCGGCCACAGCGGCTGGAGCTGAGCCAAGCTGAAGCCGGGAGCTTCTTCTGGGTCTCCCACTCAGGTGCAGGGTCCCAGAGTTTTGGGCCATCCTCGACTGCTTTTCTAGGCCACAAGCAGGGAGTTGGATGGAAAGCGGGTTGGTCAGGATTAGAACTGGCGCCGATATGTGATCCCAGTGCGTTCAAGGCAAGGACTTTAATTGCTACACTATCGTGCTATGCCCTTGACTGGTCTTGAAAGTTTTGATAACGTCATGAGCTTCATTGCGTCAGGGCTGAGAAAAATTTAGTGCTAGGGGAAGCAGCAGCGCAGCAGATCTCCCACATCAGATCTTGCACCTACCAGGAGGAACTGCAGTCCAGCCTGATGTGTTTCGCACCCAGTCCTAGCACTTGATAGCTGGTGCTGAAGCTAGTCCAGCTGGTCCACACCTGTTCTGGCTCTCTCATGCTAGTGGTTGGGGCACCGTAGCCCAGTCTGGCTGCCCTCAGACCCAGTCCACATGCCAGCTGATGGGTGCTATAGCCCTACCCAGACCAGCCCATCGCCAGTCCCAGCTCTCACACTCACCCAATAGAAGCAGTGGCCTACCAAAGGAGTCTCAAGTTCCCCTCCCAGACCTGCTGCCAGCCCTGTGTCTTGTGTGTGCTGGTGGTGCTGCAGACCAGTCTGGCACAGCCCGCCCCAGTGTGAGCATTCATTTACAGGTGCTACAAACTGGCTCAGCCAAACACGCTCTTTCTTGGCATTCGCCATCAGGTGATGCAGACTAGCCAGGCTGGCCCACCCTCAGACCCAGCTCTGATGGGACCAGGCGGATGCCACAGCCTAGCCCAGCCTAGCCCATACCCATTCTGGCCTTTGTGAGTGCCAGCAGGTACTGGGGCCTAACCCAGTCTGATGCACTCCCAGACCCAGGCCACATGCATTTCACAGCTTTACCCAGCCCAGTGTACCCCCATCCCTGGCTCTCATGCTTATCTGTGGGAGCTCCAGCCTAGCAGGGAAGTCCCAAAAGTTCCCCTACCAGGACTTCTCACAGCCTGATCTTTCATATGCCAGCAGGTGCTTTGGCCCAGCCTGGTGTGGCCTACCCCAGTCTCAGTTCTTGCTGGCATTGTTGCTGCCTAGTTCTTCTTGGCACAGCCCACACTCCATCTTGGCTCTTCTGCATGCTAGCAGCTGCTGCAATCTGTCCCAGCCAGGCCTACCCCAAGACGCAACCCACACACATGCTGATGAATATTACAGCTTCGCCTGGCTTAGCCCACTCCAGCCCTGGCTGTCATGCTCACCAGGAGCAGCTATGGCCCGGCAGGAGAGTTCCCCAAGATCCCCTACCAGACCTGGATCTCATGCATGCTAGCAGATGCCATGGCCCTGCTTGGCGAGGTCCACCCTTAGTCCCAGTCTTTGTCCTAGCGGATGCTGCAGCCTGGCCCAACCCAGCCTCCTCTTAGCTCTGGCTTCCACAAGTGTTGGGGAGTTCCGAGGTCCAGCCTGGCTCAGCCCATTACCACACCCAGCTCGCCTGCAAACTGGCAGGTGCTACAGGCTCACGGAGGTGAGCCCACAAATCCCCTACAGAGTCTTCCCCCAGATCTGGTTCTGTGTCATTCCAGTGGCCCAGCCTGTCATTGCCCACCCCTGCTCTGACACTTGGGAGAGGTACTGCAGCCTGGATTAGAACTAGCTCAGCCAGGCATGTCCCTCAGCCCCAGCTTTTGCATGTGCCGGTGGATAGTGGGTAGTGCTACTCAGCCTCGCCCAGATCTCCCACGTGGACAGGTGCCTTGGCCTAACCCAGACATGCCCTCCAGGCTCCCCCTTCTCAGCATCCTTGCCTACCTGTAAGTGCAGTAGTCCAGTCCGTGGAAGTCCACAGAAGTCACTTCTCACCTGTGAAACATGCCCTCAGATGCCTGACTCTAATAGTCTCAGGCCTCCTTCCCCAGGCAGTCCACACTGCACCACCACCACCACCACACAGCAGCGTGATGTACCTGGGGCCAGGGTGTGTGTCCCGGCCCAGTATTCCCCCCTTCCCTGCATATCTTTGAAACAAAAAAAAATTGAATAGGCAACTGTGCTGGCGTATTAGTATAGTCAATACAGACTTGGCATTAACCGGGCCCAGAATGGCCACCGGTGATTGACAGCTTTTCTCCCGGCGGTGTAACACTTGCCCAGGTATAGGGCACCTAGACAGTTGCCCGTGGCTGGGGCTCTAGAGCACCTGGGTCAGCAGGTCTTCACACTCAGATTCCTCCCTCCTCAGTACCCAGTTCCAGAGGATGGGAACCAGAACTCTGCTTTGTTAAATGCTTATTTATTTATTTCTATCTGCTTGAAAATCCACATTGCACACACAGATACAGTTTTCATCAGTGGTTCACTCCTCCAACGCCCTCAACCGTCAGAGCTGGTCTAGGCCAAAGCTAGGCACCCAGATCTTCCTGCAGGCTCCCTCATGGGTGACAGGAGCTGAATTAACAAGCTACCACACAAACCTTCCCAGGTGAGGTGGCAGGAAGCTGAGCTGGAAACAGAGCAAGTGGAACTTTACCCATACTGGCACTTTAACACGTGCGTCCCAGCAGGGATGTAACCCACTGCACCGCCACCTGCCCCCAAATCAGTGAATGGCCATGACTGTTCGGGGATGTTATGCGTGTTGTGCTATGAAGATTTAAAACAGAAGAAATTTGGTTTAGTACACTGATTTCTATCTTTAATTTGGAAAAAAAAAAAAAAGAAACCATATGGTAAATTTTTATTTTGACTGTTTAAATTTGGAGATTTTATTCTGTAAAATACTGAACTTTGTTTTCCATGAATTTCAGTCAGTACTGTAAAAACTCAGAGTGTTGTCCCAGCTGACATCAGCTTTCCCAGAGGTGCCCACAGGTGGCAGCTGGGTCTGCGGAAGTGTACATGGAGCCTGCTTACTTGCTGCCAGCACTCTGGGGCTGACTCTAGACCAACACCACAAGATTCTAGTGCCCGCTGTTGGGACTGTTGGAACTCATGCGCAGTCCTGTTTTGAATGAATGAAAAGATTATTTCCACTAAATAATTTTACCTTTAGATTTTTATATTTAAATTTTCTGATTGTCACCCATAATTTTGACATTCACTCTAAGGCAAATGTCATTACTATTAGTCTAGATTTGTCCATACATTTCTTTTGAGGTCTCAAAGGGAATTGAGTTTCTTCATCATGACTGAGTCAGACTCCTGGGGGCTAAAGGAAAATTATCTAGCATTCAAATGTTGTAAATATGAGGACAGTCTGATTCCAGGGATATTTTAAAGCTTATTCAAAACTTGTATGCAATAGAACAAGACAAATTGACAGTAGGTTAAAATTTCTTTTTTTAAAAAAAGATTTATTTATTTTTTATTGGAGATCAGATATACAGAGAGGAGAAGGGACAGAGAGGATGATCTTTCATCCCCTGCTTTACTCCCCAAGCGGCCACAGCAGATTGAGCTAAGCCAATCCAGAGCCAGGAGCCTGGAGCCTCTTCCAGGTCTTCCACATGGGTACAGGGTCCCAAGGCTTTGGGCTATCCTCAACTGCTTTCCCAGGCCCACAAGAAGGTAGCTGGATGGGAAGAGGGGGTCAGTGGGATTAGAACCAGCACCTGTATGGGATCCCGGCACATGCAAGGTGAGGACTTTAGCCACTAGGCCACCATGCCAGGCCCTATGATAACATTTCTGAATGTCCAACAACAGACCGGTGAAAGAAGTTAGGAGGAGATGTTGCATCCTTCCCCAGCTGCCTGGCCCCTCCGTGCTCCCTCTCCTGCTCTATGTTCCCATAAAGCATTTGCCACCCTCCCCAGCTCGTGTTCTGGTTTGTTCTTTTCTGTAGTCTGTGTTGATTGTATGGCTCTGTGATGGCCATACTTTGGTTTGTTTTTTTCACACACAAAGTGGGCCCCTGATAAGAATTTGTTAGGAAGTGCTTGTGGTCGGCTTAGTCTAGCCGTGGCTTGTAGACATGAAGACATGAACTGACCTTTTGCAGCTAATTGTATTTTCAGGGTATCTCGCATTGGCTGTTGAGCGGTGTGAGAGGCAGGTGCTGTCCCCTGTAAGAATCTACAGTCGACATGTGGGTTTGGAATCTGTGTGGAGCTGTCTGCCCATCATCTGGCTTTGTTTCTGGTGGGAAGGTTGCAGAGCCCCACAAGGAGGTGGGGTAGCCCTCCTCTCAAGCCCAGGCAGACCCCTCTTGGGAAATAGAACTGTTTAGGCAGTAGCTGAGGTCCAGAGCACGGCTTCTTTCCTGAAAGTTATTAAAGCAGACCCAGCAGTGGTAGCATGGTATCTCACTGTCGTCATGGGAATGTCACACACTTACCCAAGGAATACCTGACTTTCGATAGTGTCTAGCCTCCATAGAGAAAGATATGGCCAGGGGCCAAGCACTGCAGTATAGAGGGAAAAGCCACCACCTGCAGCACTGGCATCCCATGGGGGTCCCGGCTGCTCCACTTCCAGTCGAGCTCCCTGCTAATGCACCAGGGAAAGGGACAGGATGACTCGTGCTTGGGCCCCTGCCTTCGTGTGGGAGACTCAGAAAAAGCTCTGGCTCCTGCTTCGGACCGTCCCAGCGTCAGCCATTGTGACCATCTGGAGAGTGAACCAGCAGGTGGAAAATCCTTCTCTTTTTCTCTCTGTAACTCTGCTAATTAAATAAGTAAATCTTAGGAGGGAAAAAAAGGAAGAAAATAAAAAGAAAAAATGATTAGGTAAACATGAATAGCTTATCCTATGTTGAATGCTGGGGAATATTAGAGTTGAGTCCTAAGAAAATTATCAATTGTTATGACCCAAGTGAGCAAATTATATTTTATTTTAAACTAAGGAAGACTTGGGGCAGTGGCTTCACGCTGCGCCTTGGAGCTGGATCCCATCATTCTTGCTGTTCACATCTCCCTCTCGCCTTGTTCAGAACCGGATTCCCGTCGCGGAGCAGCTCGAGTCGGTGTTGAGACACACCGGGTACAAGCATCTCATTGCCCAGCAGTCTCCAGCCACGACTGGAGCCACCGAGAGGGCGTCCTCCACACCTCTGCCCATCAGGACTGGCCTGACACTTGGAAACCCGACGGAAGGCTCAGAGGTCTCCAGTGAGCAAAGTCCCCAGGCACCTGGTGGGGAAAGCACCACGCTCGACAGGTGTAGAATTGGGCCCCAGAACCACTCCCGCCTCGAAGCTGAGCTTAGAGACACAATCTCTTCTGTCTTACCCAAGAAAACCAGGGACGATGCCAGCATGCTGCCCTTTCTGCAGAATTTGTGCAGTCAAGTCAGCCGCCTGCGTGTGAGCCATGGCACTGAGCGGCTGGAAAGCAGCCCCAAGCCCCAGGAGGCCATTGCTGCTGTGGGGTAAGTGTGGGCCGGCGTGCTGGGAGAGCAGGGCCTGCGACAGCACTGCTGCTCAGTCCTGAGGAGGGAAGCTTTCTGTATGAACAAGTGAAGTTGTGGGATCGTGTCTGCCTTTTCTTCCTGATTTTGCTAACTGAGCCATCTTAACAGATTTTCTTTAACATCATGTGTGACTGAGTTAATTTTGCAGTCATCAAAAGAATATATACATTCATAGTTATTTAGAGCAGGAATGAGGAACACCCGGCCTAAGGTCCTATAAGGAACATGAAATTACTTGATCTGAAACTGCCAGGGAAACTCAGCAGTACTTGCAATTCCACAATTCCAGAGCAGGCTAACGTGATCATTTGCTGTGACCCTTGGGTTCGCATGTTTAAATTCCTCCCTGCGGGAAAGATCCCCCAGCCCTATCTGCAGAATACAGCCCCTTCTATGGTGTCCCGTAGGTGGGTTTATTTTTTGGCTATTTGCCTTGATTGAGAAGTAGATAAGGGTTTATTTTTTCCCCTATTTGATACTGATGTAATGTGCTACAATATTGCACAGAACTGGAATTCAGGGCTCCAGTCCTAGTCCTAGTTTATGTGTTTTGTCTTACTGTTTAAATCTTTTCATTTTTTTTTTCATAGTAAAATGAGGTACTAGTATTTGTTAGATTTTTTTAAGTCTTCCATGGTGTTAAAATTTTAAGACTTTAGTAATTGTTGGAATCAGATAGTTCTTACTTGCTACCAATGTGGAAAGATGAGTAACCTTCAAGGGTGGGTTGTCCTCGATGATGTATGTGATTGCTGTAAAATAAGCCAACAAAAGAACAGGAAACTGGGATTTAAAAGCTGGTTGGGACAGCTTTGGGCGCAGCCTCGGGGGATATTCCCTTTCTCCTTTTCTCTGGGATCTTTCTTTTGCAATGAAAGTCCCTAAACAGAAAACATGCAAAGACTCTGCCAAGTAGGGTGAAGATCCACACTGAAGGATCTTGGGGTTTGAGGAACACAACGTAGTGAGTCTGTGGCCTCCTGCTTAGGATGGTCTGCCAGAGCCTGCAGCCCAGGACAAGCAGCGGGAACAGAATGTGAAAAGAAAAAAAACCCTATTTCCTCTGTCCAAAAAACAGGAAAGAGAAGTGCTGAGGAAACAAAGCCTTGTAAAACCAGCATCCATGCTCCAGGTCAGCCCTGACTGCTGCCTTGCTCTCCTCTGGTGTGTGGGAAGTAGAGTGGGAGGTTCTCTTTCATCCTCAACTCAGTGGAGGGGGCAGCGCTCCAGGGCGGCTATTGAGTGTTGGACAGAGCTGAGCACCCAAAGCAAGTGGTCACTCCAGGGCGGCTGTTGAGTGTTGGACAGAGCTGAGCACCCAAAGCAAGTGGTCACTCCAGGGCGGCTGTTGAGTGTTGGACAGAGCTGAGCACCCAAAGCAAGTGGTCACTCCAGGGCGGCTGTTGAGTGTTGGACAGAGCTGAGCACCCGAAGCAAGTGATGACTTCAGCTCTCCAGTGGGGTGTATCTCACCCCTCTCAGCAAAGCAGGGTGGCCCTTTGACTCAGGGGTGACATCAGAAGGAGCCAAGGCAGAGTGGAGACTGCAGAAATACTGAAATGATGGTACTTGATGCCCCTTCTGGAAGCTGAGTCTAGATCGGTTGGTGCCAGGACACATTCTGTTCTGAAAACCAAAGTTGTAGACCAAAGGGGGTGAATGAAAGCTCATGTCTCATCTGGAAAGATAGCTGCCAGTAAGAAAGGACAGCTTTCTTAAAGCTGGAAAAAAAACCTGACTGCACATTCTGTATCCCGTGGATACGCTGAGATGAATGAAAACTACGACTCTAATTGTGCGTCACAGTTCACATCCCAGGAACAGCCTCAGGAGGAGCATCACAGCACACACCTGCACAACCCTAGATGGTGTAGGTTGGCAACTCGTGTGGCTTCTTGATGCACTCAGGTGATGGACTGGACACGAAATATTTGAGGCTGTTGCCAGTGTAATATGGCTGTTTTACAGTAAGGAGTTTAAATAAGTAGAAGAGTACACTCTAAAACAACAGCTATAGTACAGTAAGTGTATGAGCCAATGCCATGGCCATTTATTATCACGTGTTATAGATATAACTGCATTGCTAGACTTTCACACAATTGACTGCAGACATTTAGTTCTGCCAGTATCTTCGTGAACACAAGAGTGATGCATTAACATACAGCATATGGTGTTACGATGTTACTAGGCAGTAGAAACCTTTCAGCTGCATTTTATTTTAATGCTGTCCTAGATGGTTTCTGTCCTCAGCCAAAAGCACTGTGCAGCATATAATGGGTTGGTGCCATATAACGAATGCAAGTTCTGTAAGGAGTAATCATTACAAAATACCTGGAATCTGGACCCAGCACAGTAGCCTATGGCTAAAGTCCTTGCTCTGCACACATTGGGATCCCATATGGGCACCGGTTCTAATCCCGGCAGCCCTGCTTCCCATCCAGCTCCCTGCTTGTGACCTGGACAAGGACAGCCCAAAGCCTTGGGACCCTGCACCTGCATGGGAGACCCAGAACAAGCTCCTAGATCCTGGCTTTGCATCAGCCCAGCTCTGGCCATTGCAGCCACTTGGGGAGTGAAGCAGTGGACAGAAAATCTTCCTCTCTGTCTCTCCTCTCTGTATATCTGACTTTCCAATAAATAAACAAATAAATAATCTTTAAAAAAAATACCTGGAATCTCAGGAAGAAAGTTCAGTGAAATAGGCAAAAATGAGGGTAAATAGTGTTCTCATTAATTTCTTAAATCATGTTTAATGGTTGAAGCAAAAATCCTGTCACTGTGTGTTGTGATACTTACGGTAACACAATACTGTTGTGTAAGGAACAGCCTGGATTCACCAGTATAAAGAGATCTAGGGAGCGGCTAAGAAAACACAGCTCAGCCATGTGGTTAGCAAAACATGTCAACCATTGTGACATGATTGACATTTTTTAAAGGCCATCTAAATGGTAATCCAAAATGAAAAGGCAGGAGTGGCATGTTACATTGAGAGAAAATAGTGCCAGAACAGCAACAGAAAATTTGCTAGAGGAAGGAATGGCATTATGTCATAACACAGAAGCATGATGTCATAGTGATCCCGGTGTGTATTTGCCAGTTTGCAGAAACTACAGTTGACATTCCCACAGCTGTGAGTTGCACAGCCGCTCTTGGCTGTTGCTGGAACTACAGACCGAAGGGGCACATAGCACCTGCAGTCAGAGTCTTCGTGACATTTCTAGAAAGCTCTGCACCAGAGAAGGGACTTTCTTTTCAAGCACTCACTGGTGTAGTTTATATTCTTGGTCAGAAATCAAATCCCCACAGATTAGAAAAATTAAAATCGCACATAGATAATACTCTGACCGTAAAATCAGATTAGAAATTAATAACCAAAAGACTGCAAGAAAATTTCCAAACCCTTGTAAATGAAACAGCTTATTCTAAATAATCCATGAGTTGAACAGGAAATCTGAAAGGCACTAGAAACATGTATGGAACTGAATTTAAAAATCCAGACTTGTGAAATGAGTGCTAAGACGTGTGTGAAGGAGAGCTCGTTAAGAGATGAGCAGCACGGTAGCAAGCTGAACCGAATCTTCCGGAAGTGGAAACGAAGCCATGAGAGATGCTGTAAGTGAAGAAGTCCTCAGACAGAAAGGAAACAGAGGGAAGTGGCAACTCGGGGCTTACCTGGAAAACAAGCAGAGAGATGAATATCCTACACACAGCGGTCCTCATATCTCTTATGTGATCCAGAAGGATGGTTTTAATTTGAAAGTCAGAATGAGAGAAGGATTGAATGATATCTTCCATCCACTGATCCACTCAAAGTGGCTGTAATAGCCAGGCCTGGGCCCGGCTGAAGCCAGGAGCCAGGAGTTTCATCTGGGTCTCCTGCCTGGCGGGTAGGGACCCACACTCTTGAGCCTGTCTCCACTGCTTTCTCAGGTGCAGTAGCAGGAGGCTGAATCCCAAGTGGAGCACCAGGGACTTGACTCAGCACTCCGATATGGCTGTAAGCAGCTCAAGCACTGGCTTAATGCACTCTGCCACAACACCAGCTCCCAAAAGAATATTTTAACCAGCTGTTTTGCAAATGAAAGCTTTTGTCTTGCAGTGTTTTTAGGTTTACATTAACTGGCTGTGTGCTGCGAGGCTTGGGCTGGAGGGTGTTGCTTCCAGATTGTGTGGGTGGAAGGCTGGTAGCCTTAGTATCCTCTAGCTTTCAGTTGCAGTTAACTATAGTCATGCATTTCATGTGTTCTGAACTCTGTTCCCAGTGGTGCTTTTTCTTTTTTGTAGAATTGTTTCCTTTAAAAAAAAAAAAACCCTCTTTCCTGCTCTTTACCCTGTCTGAATTGTGTGCACTTTTCCTAATAATTTTATTAAAATGAGAGACCAAGAATTTGACTGTGAGGCATATGTAAAAGTGAATTTTTAGGATTTATGATGTAGTAACCTAATCTGTAGCTGCAGGTATTGGGGCTTGATATTCTCTAGGGAAAATTTGCCTCCAGATTTTAAACCAGCAAGTCACTAGAATGACTTGAAAAGAATAACAGCACACAACCATTTTAGATTTCTGGTACAAGCACTCTGAAAAACATACAGGTTGACATGTCTGTACTCTAACCATCATCTCAGCTCTGAAGAAGAAGAGGCAGTGAGTACTGGCCAAGACACGGAGATACTGGTTTCTGAGACATTGCTAGCCAGGCCGTTAGACACACAGCTACTCTGGGAAACTCTGTCAGGTTCCTTAAGAAAATGAAACGCTTCATGTAAGTCAGAAGTCATGTTTCTGGATATCTGTATGAAAGAAATGCAACTTTGTCTATGCAAAAATCGACACGTAATTGTTCACAGCAACTCTATTTGAAGTTAATAAGGTGCATAAGGTGACAGAAAAAAACAAAAATGTCCCATGTTTGGCCGCTGCTCTACATATGCTCTACATATGCCAAAGCACAGTGTTCCTCAAAAGAACAAACAGGGGCCTGTACTGTGGCTCAACGGGCTAATCCTCCACCTCCACGCTGGCATCCCATATGGTTCGTGTCCCACCTGCTCCACTTCCCATCCAGCTCCCTGCTTGTAGTCTGGGAAAGCAGCCGAGGACGGCCCAAAGCCTTGAGACCCTGCGCCCACGTGGGAGACTCAAAGAAGCTCTTGGCTCCTGGCTTCAGATCAGTTCAGCTCTGTTGCTGGTGGATGTTTAGAGAGTGAACCAGTAGATGGAAGATCTTTCTATCTCTCCTCTCTAAATCTGCCTTTGCAATGAAAATAAATAAATCTTCAAAAATAAATAAAACCCAAGATACATGCATCTCAATGAAATTATGCCAAGTGAAAACAAATGTAGAAAATCACATGCTGTGTGATTGAGTTTATACAGCCTTCTGGAATAACACGGTTGTGGAGTGGGAGAGGCACTGAGCAGTTGCAGGGATCCTGAAGGAGGGCCTGGGGTGGGCGTGACTGCTGTGGAAGCACAGGCAATTTTCATGGGGAAGGACTCATTCTGTGTCTTGACTGACAGAGGTCGCGTGCCTGAATCATACGGAACATTTGGCCTAGAACCGCCACGTTCTCCTCTTATCTGTGACTTCGCTTTTAGTTACCCAGTCAGCCATAGTCTGAGAATATGAAATGGAAAATTCCAGAAGCAAACAATGCATGCTGTTCTGAGCAGGACGATGCCCTGTCTTGGGGCCGTTTCTGTTCGGCCTGAAATCTGCATCTTCCTTTCCCAGTATCTTCACATTGTGTACATAACCTCCCACTCTCACTCTAACTTTGTTAGACTTTCTCAATTCTAGCTTTGTTAGACTATCAGCTGTTCAGTTCTCACCACAGCTGATTTATAAGCTTGATGATAGGAATGTATGCATGTGTAGGAGAAGAGCAAGCATGGAGCTCAGGGCTGCAGGAGGCTCAGGTGTCCGTAAGGATAAGTACATCAGCCCTGCACCTGCACAGACCGTCCCCGGGTCACTCTCCTGGCTGCTGTGTGTGCAGTGGAGGACGGGGGTGAAAGGAGCAGAGGGCATCTCAGGGCTCTGTGAGCACACTGGGACCTCAGCGAGAGCCCTGGGCACCCTGCTCCAACAACCGCTCCCTGAGAGGGTGCTTTAGGAACTGCTCTGCTGTTGTTTTGACCTTCACTTTGCCCATTCTGGCATTCTAGTAAGCATTCTTCTTTTAGGTTAGGAAAAAACAGTATTTTAGTGAGGATGTTTGAGTGAAAGGAGAGAAGAACTCTAAATGGTGGAGTTCCTTGGGGAGATACTTGGAAGAATCACCTGTGGATTTTTTCTCTAAACGGGCAACACCAGTCTTCCTTTAGGGCTCAGAATCAACAAGGCCGTTCCTGAAGGCCTTTGCTTCAGGGCTCCATCTTGACCTCAATGATGTACTTAATAAATAGCTAAAGAGTTAAAGGAGCGAGCAAGGGTCGGGCATTCGGGACTGAGTGCTGTTGTGTGTCCTAAGGAGACGTGTGCGGACGGACCCCAGCAGTGTGTGTTGGCTGTTCGTACGATAGCAGTAGAGAAACTTGATGTGCTTTATTTTGTTTTTAGGATGGAAACACAGCCTGTTTGCTCCTACTTGGAGAAAATTCTCTCTAAAAATCTGGAGTTGATGGAAAAGAAACTCATGGACCACATTGATGAGCGACTGTTGAGACTGCAGGAGCAGCTGGACCGTAAGCTTGCTGTGGTGATGGAGCTGCTGCAGGGTCCCCACTCGCCGCCTGCTGAGCTGCCTCTGCGACACTGTGACTCCGGAGAGAGGCTCTCCAACGGGGAGCGATGAGCACTGCCCACGCACCACACCCCGCAGTATTTATTACGTATTTATTACAAAGCCAAGACCCACGGTGTCCTGAGGAGCAGGTATCTCGGTGTGCTCTGAGGGCCATCGTGTCGTCTCCGTGAGCTCCGCGTTCCTGTCCTGCCGCGTCCTTGTCAGTCCAGCACTGTACAGCAGTGGACGTGACATGGTCCTGGGCTGGTTTTGTTTAAATGTTTTTTACTCTTACAGAAATGTGTACATACTTTAGTGATGTTGAGGTGTTTACAGTGTCTTGAGGACTTCTAGTGCGATGCAGTAGTTCATTTTGTATGTTTGCCATTCTGTTTTAATTTATACAAAAACTTTATCATTTGAGAGGTATGGAAAGAATGGAATGTTTGGTCAGTATTTTTTTCCCCAACTAACTGTTCTTGGAAAATGGAGTAGCTAGACCGGGAATCTTTAATTTCAGATCTTAACATTTTACATTGCTTATTTTGATTAAAAAAGAAACAAAAGATGAAAAGTTTGGCGTGTTAGTTTTGGTTTTGGTTCCACTGTAATGGTAGACAGGAAGGTGAACATCCGCTTGGCTTGTTCAGTGCCGGGACCGACCTTTGGATGGTGGTGTGCGGCAACCCCAGGCAGTGTGAGAAGGGAGTCTTTGCAGGCTTGCCCAGTGTGTGGCAGGCCGAGGCCCACCAGCTGGGGAGGATTAAGGCCTGTGTGTCAAGGAGATTGCAATTCTGTGTCTGACTTTTCAGAACTTGTAACTGCTGTGTGTGCTGAAGTGTGATGTATTTTACATCTACAAATAAACACGTGCACTCCGGAAGCTGTTTTGTCCTAAACAGAAATGTGTTTTTCCTCTGATTTTTCACTTATATTTTTATGTTTTATTTCTAAGAGAGAGAGAGAGAGATCTTTAATCTGCTGATTCGCTCCCCAGATGCCCACAACATCCAGGGCTGGGCCAGGCTGAGCCAAGGTTGCCACAACTCAATCCAGGGCTCTTGTATGTGGCAGGGGCCCACGTGCTTGAACCTTCACCTGCGGCTTTCCCGTGGGCGTTAGTGGAAGCTGGACTTGGAGGTGGAGCCAGAACTCAAACCCAGGCACTCCAGGAACGACCTCTTTGCCACAACAAACCCCTGTCCTTCTTCTGCTATTCAAGGTGCTTATTTTTACTGAAAGGATGTTTTGCAGTCATTTGCTATTTTGGAGCATTCACTTCTTTGGGCAAAAAACTAGCCTGTGTAGTGTTTGTTCACTTATGCCCAGAGTTCTACGGGGTTAGACTCCCGCCTTATTTCTGGGCATCAGTGTTTGGTTTAGCAGCGAGGAGCAAGAAGACAGCCCTTGCACTGTGTGTGCTGCACCTGGAGTCTCCTTTTCTCATTTTGCTGCCTCAGCCAGGACACAGTCAACCTGTGGGCTGGATATGGTCACCTTTTGTTTAACTATAAAGTGTGAACATCTTTCTGAATGAACATAGTTACTGAATGGGTGCTTGAATCCTAGTCGGTGCCTCTGCCCATATTCATTGTGTAGCTGAAACATAAAAATCTAACCAATCTCCTGTCGTTTCACTTTTGATTGAAGTTGCAGCTTCCCCACTTTTTTCTTTTTCTTTGACATTGAACTCTTACACCGGCTCTGAATTAGCGCTCCAAACTCTGAAAACGGAAGGACAAGAAGACCGGGAGAGGCCAAAGCCTGAATGGAATGATGCGCAGTAGCGTTTCTGCTCCGTGGGAGCCACAGAACAGAATTCAGAACTCAGTGACAGCAGGGCTCGGAGGGCTGATGTCACACAGCCCGCAACATGAAGGGGGAGTCAGGTCCGCTGCCTGTGGCCCGGGCCGCGCGTCCAGGAGTCAGCGCTTCCCGGGGATCTGCCTACTTCCCACAGTGACAAGTAGATCCCACTTCCCCCTTGTTAAATTACAGCTTTCAGAATTTCCTGATTAAGTATCCTGCTCCCTGAAGGTGTGTCGATCAGGTTGGGGAAGGAGATCATTGGGGGAGGGGTCAGTTATGTTTTGGGTTATTTTTGGTTTTTATTTTTTGTTTTTGCAAAATATAGCTGGTTTTAATCCAGCTCTGGAGGGCCTCACTATAGTGAGTGAGCTGAAGAGTCGGCTTGTTTCTGCTGTCCTGACTCACTGTTCCCAGTAACAGCTCCCCAGTGTCAGAGCATCTGTTTGAGAGAACTGCTTATTGCAGATGATTCGGATTCCCTGGGAGGAGTCCATTCTTGAGGGAAGCACTGTCACTGTTAGAAAGGACGAGGGATAAGAGGCTCCAGAAAGCTGGATTCGGGTCCATGCTGTCCACTTCTGTCTCTGAACTAGACAAACGTGTACCTGGAAGCTTCTAGATTCTTCTTGAACCCTGTGATGATGGCACCCAGTTGTCGATGGGAGAACTGATATTTTACCCCAAACATGTCATTTATGAAAATAGGTTTTCGTATTTTGTACCATCTCGGTATTCTTAGACATTAACATTTTGAAAAAAGCAAATCCTTTTGCCTCATTAAGTTGTTTTGTTTTATTTTTAAAGATTAGTTACTTGACAAAGTGACAGGGAAAGAGGGAGACTCAGAGAAAGAGATCTTCCATTCACTGACTGATTCCCCAAGTGGCTTCGAAGCCCTGGTCTCCATCCAGGTGTTCCATGTCAGTGTCAGGTGCCCAAGCTTGTGGGCCATTTGCTGTTGCCTTCCTGGTTTGGTAGCAGAGAGCCAGAGCAGCAGAGCAGCTGGGGCTTACCTGGTCCATCAGAAGGGTGTGCCGAATCAAAGGGAGCAGCTTAACTCAGTGCCACCAAAAGGTAACTCGAACCAAGTGTTGTTGAACCTGATGTGAGGAGTGATTTCTGCTTCAATCAGGAAATAGACATCAGAAGGCCCATTGGCTCCGGTGCAAGCCCGTTTGACACTGACTGTGCACGTCACTGCCAGCCGAAGGTAAAGTCCTCCCGGTTTGTCCTGTTCTCTCCCTTGTCAAATGGACCCCCCTTAGCCCACCGGGGAAGGTTGAGTTCTGGTTTGCAAATGGAGGAAAGAGTGGTTTGCCGTCCGTTCTACCATCTCCTCAGAGCACCCTGGGGTTGTTGCCTGCTGATGGGACGGGGAACTGTAGCCTGCATCTCTGCCTAGCAGGAGGAGAGATGTTTGACCTCAAGACCAAGGTGATGGTCGGCATTGGCAGTGGCCTCCTGATTGCCGCGTTCGTGCTCATAGGGATTGTCATCGGTCTCTATATCAAGGTGTCCAAGGCCCTGAGGTGAGTCACGTGGTGAGAGTGGACCATGCACCGCCCCCCGGGGCCCTGAGCCCTGAGCCTGAGCAAGGTCTCTGCTGGCTGCTGTGCCCCCTCCTAGGGTGAGCTCAAGGTTGGGACAGCTGAGGCCATACCCTGGGATCTAGGCTCATTTTCTGTCCTGGACTCGAGCTGTGAGCTCATCCAGAGGCTGTCCCCAACCTGGGGCTGAGGGTGAGCACAGCCTCGCTGTCACTGGCCCTCAGCGAGGTGTGTCAGGGGACGAGCTCAGGCCCTGTCCTGGGCTAGGAAGCCTGAACTGTCCCCGGGGGACACAGTGGGAGTGGGCATTTGCTGCCTGTTCCTGCAGGGGATGCAGGGACTGCCCTCCCACCCCAGCTGGGAACTATCAGGGGGTTCCCTTGCTCATGGCCAGTGGCCTAGGGGACACTGAGGCAGGCCTGTAAGGACAGACAGTGCCCCGTAGAGTCTATGGGGAGCAGGTCAGATAAGAGATGTTCAAGATGAGGGGACGCAGGGTGTCAGCGCATTGTGTCCCGTGGCAGGGAGTCGGGTGACTCTGGGTGGCCAGGGCAGAGCCAGCCACAGCCCCTTCCCACCAGCCCTGTGTCCCGAGGGGCTGCCTGCACAATGGGCAGACCTGGCTGGCGGTCCCTCTCCTTCATGTTGTAACCCGAGTTTCCTTGCACAGCCATTGTAAGAAAGAAGGGAAGTAGAGAGGATTTGACACAGCGGCAGAGAGCTTTCCCCCAGGGCCGGTGTCGCCTGTTTGGTAGGCTCAAGTCCCGACCTCTCCCTGATCTGACAGTCGTCACAGGGCCAGTGGGAAGGCAAGAGCTGACCCTGTGCTTTGTGCTTGTCTTTCCTAAGAGCTGCAAGAGAGTCTGCTGTGTGTGGAACCAGGCACGCAGCCAAGATCTGCCCGGGAAAGCCCATCCCGGTGGCTCCCTGCCGCCCCCTCCCGTGCTGCAATGACTGTAACATGTGTACAGATGTTGATTCCCTGCCACCTTGCTGCTGTAGCACAAATGAGGGACTCTGACTCGGGCGTGGTGGGCGCTGCAGTCATCCTCAGCAGTATTTCCTTCTCATTCAGATGTTTCACTGGTCAGTCAGGTTCTGTAGTCATTATAGTACACGAGTTTGGTACAATGCTATTTCATGTGCTTCTGCATAAATGTACGATATTAAAACAACCCTGTCTACTATTTTTATTCACTATAGATATTTCTGTTTCAGTGTATGCCCTGCCCACTAGGACTGGGGACAAGGCATTGGGAATATTATCCTGCAATGACGAGGGAGAGGGAGGGAGGAAGGAGCCTGCAGCTCATCTGCCAGCCCAGAAGGGAAATCCGGGTTGGTCCCAGGGCGTTTCCTTCGGTGGGAGCTCCATCCGGGTTGTTCTTGGGGCATTTCCCACCCTGTGAGCGCCATCCGGGTTGATCTGGGTTGGTCTCGGGGCGTTTCCCACCCTGTGAACCCCATGTGGGTTGGTCTGGGGGAGGAGGTGTTTCCCGCGGTGTGAACCCCAGCTGCCCGCCTGGCTGGAGCAGAGCCCAGGACTCTCCTTCAGGCTTCCTTCCTTCCCACCCAGCGCCTCCCCTGCAGACCACCATGTGCACTGTCCTGAAGGGGGCGCCGTTGGCCAGGCCGACTGAGGTGTGGCAGGCAGGAGGCTCTGGGTGGATGCTGTGTGACCAGCATCCTGGTGGGGTTGAATTCAGCATCTCTGAGAGACCTTGTAGGAAACCTGTGACTCCTCTGTCCTCCCCACCCGGCCTTCACACTGACGTGGATTTGTGCTGGTTTGGCTGTCAGTGTCTTCCGCTGTCTCAGCAAGGAAGCCCGAGGCCAAAGCCCAGGCCCTGTTGACCATGGGGTGGGCAGTCCCTCTGCTCCCCAGGCTGCTGTTTTCTGCCCCTTCCATTGAAGCTGCTGAAACACACGCTCGCTGCTCCTGCTGCCAGCATGGACACCAGCGTTGCTTTCCCTCCAACTAGAGTGTGGTGCCTGTGGCCTCCCGCGCACCTGCTGCGGCCTCCCAGGGCTTAATTGGACGGAAGTCCCTGCACCTGTGCCTTCGTTCCCTTCTCCCCACCCCAGGTCAGCACCTGGCAGGACACCAGAGTGACCCAGCCAGACCCAGAGCTACCCCAGTGCCACACAGCCCCCTGCCGATCCTTCTGTTCTGAGGCGAGGTGGTGGGCCTCGGAAGTCAAGGTTGTCACCTTCAGGATGTGGCCATGCAGACCAAGGCTCAGCTGCACATCCGTTGCCTGAGGGATTTCCCAGGACCTGTTGTGGGCCAGCTGCTGAGGGTGCCTGGGCAGAGCTGTGGTTGGGCCTGGCTGCAGCCCTTCTGGAAGGAGTCAGGTGCCCAGGCTCTGGCGGCTGGTGTTGCTGGTCACATTCCAGCCTCCCAGGTGCTCTGTTCTCATGGAAACGGGCACCTGTGTGGCTGGAGCTGACGGGCCTCTGGACGTGGCCAGGCATCCATCCAGATTGTTACTAAACTGAGGTTTAAGAATGTGCGGTTCCCCGCACCTTACAGTGATGGAGGGTAACAATGAGAGGGAAGTGTGAGCTCTGACAAGAATTCATTTTCTAATTTTATATGGACTCGAAATTGAGGCTTCAGAGAATGTGTCTCCTAAAAGGAATCGATCCACAGGCCGAGCTCATGATACTCTGATCTGTTTCTCTCAAGACAGAGATCTGGGTGCACTGAAGACACATTCCTGAGAGGGCCCGGCCATAGGGAGGCTCCTGGCCAAAGTCCCCACACAGACAGCTCTAGGGATGGGAAAGCCCTCCAGCCAGCGGCAGCCTGCCTCCATCGTCTCCCCGAGTGTAATCCACTCAGAACTGTCGGCTGATACCTGACCTGCTTGCCTCTGCTTGTAGTGTGAGCATGCAAGATATGCCAATTTGAAAGGCAGCATTAGACACCTCCCATCTGCTGGTTACTCCCCAGGTGGCCTCCACAGCTGAGGCTGGCCAGGTAGAAGGCAGGAGCCTGGAATTGCATCTGGGTCTCCCATGAGGGTGCAGTGGCCCAAGCACTCGATGGATGCTTGGCTGCCATCACAGACAGTGCTTAACCGCCTTACCACAAACTCCAGCCCCAAGGGGTGTGTTTTAGGAAATCTGTGTCGCTCCTCTTGTGTTCTGCTGGCAACTTTTTCTCACTGCTCATGACGCCAGCCTCCGTCACTTCCTGGAATGCGAGCCTTAGTAAATTTTCATGTGACCATAGCTGTGTCCCACATGTAGTTAAGAGGGGACCCAGGAGACCCATCATGCGCCACAGGAGACTCCAGCTCCACACCTTGAGTTCATTCTTGAGAAGTCCAGGCCTCGTGTTTGGCATGTGACAGCGGTGACTGTGGACTCACTGCAATCTGTTTCAAGAAGGAAATGAGACATTTCTTCATCCAGTGTTAGACTGAGACTCACTGGGTCACTAATCCTGACCTTTCTAAGCATCCATGTGTGAACACAGACAGAGCCTTTCCGCGTCTTTGTTCGGTGCTTTGTGTGAAGGATACACGCCTCTCTCCCTTTCACATTCTGACCCAGTGACTGCCCACACAGCTGCAACTAAGGCAAAACACATCTTCCTTTACTTTCCCTATTCCAATGAACAAAACCTAACTGCTCATACTGTGATCGAGAGATTAGTAATCCTTGCTTAAGAATCCCAGGGGTGGGGCACGGTGCGGTAGCCTAGTAGCGGTAAGCACCTTGCCTTGCATGCACCCAGGATCCCTTATGGGTGCCAGTTAGTTTCCCAGCTGCTCCACTTCCCTTCCAACTCCCTGCTTGTGGCCTCTGGGAAAATAGTAGAGGATGGCCCAAAGTCCTGGGACCCTGTGCCTGCGTGGGAGACCCCAAAGAAGCTCCTAGGTCCTGACTTCAGATCAGATCAGCTCTGGCCACTGAGGCCACGTAGGGAGTAAACCAGCAGATGGAAGACCTTTGTCTCTCCTTCTCTCTGAATATCTAGCTTTCCAATAATAAATAAATGTATTTTTTAAAGTCTCATTCCTCTCTGTCTCTTCTCCTCTCTGTATATCTGAATTTATAATAAAAAATAAAAAATAATTCTCTAAAAGTGTCTCATTAAAATTTTTATTAAAAAAAAAAAAACTCCAGGGTGGCCAGCATAATGGCTCAATTGGCTAATCCTCCCCTTGCAAGCACTGGGATCCCATATATGTGCCAGCTTGTGTCCTGCGTGCTCCACTTCCCATTCAGCTCCTTGCTTGCGGCTTGAGAAAGCAGTAAAGAATGGTCTTTGGCTGAGGGCTGACTGTGTCGGGTTGGGTGGCAGCTCTTGCTAACATGAGCTGGTATGGGGGAAAACAGCATGTGCCGGCAAATGCCAAGGGAAGATGGGCCATGCCAGACTGGGCTGCACACCGCCAGCGTGAGGAGGTGTACAAGCCCAGCAGGGGAGATGTGGGCATGAGAGCTGGGATGGGGGCAGGAGCGGGGGCAGAGCAGGCCCACAGGTCTACATCACCTGTCACATATGAACTGCATTAGGGGGAGAGCCGGGCTGGGCTAACTGACTGTATCCACTAGCAGGAGGGTTGGGCTTTGTCGCAGCAGCTGGCAGGTGCTGGGGTCTGGGGGTAAGTCTTGTCTAGCTAGAATGCAGAATCACCTGGACAGTGCAAGATCTGGGGTAGGGACTGGGTCCTGTGGGGAGGCTGTGGGCACCTCTGATTTGCTGCAACTTCCATTGGTGAGCATGAGAACCATGACGGGGTGGGCCTGGTTGGACAGGCAGTGGCACCCGCTGGCATGAGTGTGGGCTGGAGGGCGGAGTAAGTTGGATTGAGTTAGGCTTCAATGCTCAATGATGCGTGCAAGATCTGAGTGGGATGTGGGATAGACTGAAGCAGTCCACTGAACTTGCTGGCAGGCACAGGAACCAGCTGGGGCTGGTCCAGTGGGGGTACTGGGGGTTGCTCTGAGTGGGCTGAAGCTCCTCCTGGTGTACATGAAGGCTGAACGTGTGGTGGCAGGGCTGGGCCAGACTGCAGCACCCACTGGTTTGCAGAGAAGGGAGGGCAGAACAAACTGATGAACTGCTCCAGCAAAGCCTGACAGCAAATTTCTGCGCAAAGGGAGACTTGGAGGTGGACTGTGTCAGCCAGCTGACCGTGGAAGGATTTCCTCATCCCAGCAGCAGCATCTCAGAACAATCAAGACCACCTGACCAGAACCGCAGAAAATGCTCTCCAAATGGCTGGGAGGCTCAGTGTGGCGTCTCCACCCGCCCCCCGTACAGGAAGCAAATGTGAAAACAATGGTCTCGCCCACTTCCCCCTGATCCTCGGCCCTTCCCACCCTGATCAACTATGTAAACATCATCAAAACTAAAATTTAAGGTTTCAGATCAGCTCAGCTCCGGCCATTGTGGACATGTGGGGAGTGAACCAGTGGAAGGAAGATTTTTGTCTTTCCTTCTCTCTATAAATCCTCCTTTTCAATGAAAATAAAATTTAAAAAATCTAAAGGGCTGTATGATCCAAATTATATGATACAGAGACTGAAGAGAAAGTGATGTCAGGTTGGCCAAGGGCTGTGTAGGCAATGGCTTTTAAGGGCCATGCAGGTAATCCATTGGATGCTCACAGTGAACGCTGTGAAAACCTTCGGACTGAACAACCCCAAGGCGGAGCTCCCGGGTCAGCCATGGGCTCTGAGTGCCACAAGCATGGTACCATGCTGGCTGGGTAGCAAGTAGCTGGGAAGGTGTGGTGGGCAGTACATGGTGGGGAGTGGATGAGGGAGAGCCGTGTACTTCCCGCTCAGTCTTCTGACCCCAAACCTTTAGATTAAAAAAGAGAGGCCAACGATGCCGGACACTGGCCTGAAACCCACTGGCATGTACAAGACGTGGGCCTGGGAGTGGGTCAAGTGGAGGAACTTGGGAAACTCCCCTGGCTGCTCACAGCTCTTACTGGTGAACACGTGGTCCAGACCTGGCGGTCAGACAAGCTGGGCAAAGTAGCTCCAACAGCTGGCTAATGTGTCAATTGGTAATGGAACGGAGTGTACCGGGCAGGACTGAGCAGACCTTACCCCACAAGCGAAACTAGTGCCAGGAGGCAGCACAGGTCATGCCGAGCTAGGCTCTTGCACCTACTGGTCTGCATGAGCCAGGGACCACAGCATCTAGGGCAGGGGTCAGGACAGGTGAGGGGCTGAGCCAAACTGAGTCAGAGCAACCACTGGCATGTGCGCAATCAATGGCTGGGAACAGGTCTGGTTGGGGAGCTAAGGGAACACCCTAGCTGGGTTTAGATCCCCACCAAGGAGCGCAGGGGCTGGAATGGGGGCTGTGTTCTGATCTGGATATGGCTGCAATATCCCTTGGCACAAATGTGGACTGGGGCTGGGTATACCTAGATAGGCTAGGCACCAACCAGGGTAGATGTGGGATGGACTAGGCTAGGTCTCAGCCCATACTGAGCCATGTATGAGCTGTATGTGGGTATGGATGAGCCATGGCTGGGCTGAAACATCCAACAGTAAGAACCAGATTGGGTTGAAGACTAGTCAGGAAAGGCCACTGTTTCTTCTAGGACAGGAGTGAACTGAGTAAGGCTGGCTCATGGACCCACCAGTATGTGCAAAATCTGGCATTGGGAGAGGTTCTGATGGAGGAGCCTGGGCAACTCCTCTGGCAGGATACAGTCCCTGCAGGTAAGCACAAGAAGCAGATAGGAAACAGCCCAGAACGGGCCATATAGTTTCCCACTGGCATACATTTGGCATGGGTTGGGGGCAGACCAGGCTGAACCAGTTCACATTACCCACTCGCAAATCTGAACACCGGAACAGAGTGTGGATCGAGCCAGGTTCGGTTGCGACAAAAACCAGTGCACATTACGGAATGCCAAGGTGAGGTTGCCTGTCCCGGATGTGACCGCAGTGCCCAACAGCACACATGAGAACCAGGAAGGGAGGGGGCGGAGCTGACAGGGAGAACGTGGGGGGCTCCCCTGCTGGACTGCTACTCCCACTGGAGAGCGTGAGCTGGGATGGGAGCAGTCCAGACTAAGGAGGGCTACAACACCTGTGGGCCTCATGTGGCCTAGATCAGGGAAAAGCCAGGCTGGGCTGACTATTCCTACTGGTGTAAGCATAAATTAGAGTGGGTGAGGGTTGTTTGGGCTTAGCCGCAGCATCAGCTGGCAGAAGCTGGCACTGGGGGCTAATTCTGTCAAGTTAAACTGCAGAACCACCTGGAGAGAGTAAAATCCAGGAATGGGAGTAGCCTAGAAGGGAAACAGAGGGCACTTCTCTCTATGTTACCACTCCCACTGGAGGGCACAAAAACCAGGACAGGGCAGGGGTGGCTAGACAGGACACCACCAGCATGTGTGTGGGCTGGAGAGTGGGGCTGGTTGGGTTGAACCAGGCTTCAACGCCCACTGACATGTAGGAGAGCTGAATGGGATGTGGGACAGACTGGACCAGTCTGCTGTACATACTGGCAAGCACTGGAACCAGGCTAGGGGCGGGCCTGGAGGGGGTTGGTGGGGGTTGCTCCGACTAGGCTGCAGCTCCCACTGGTTTGTGTGAGGGCCGAGCGTGTGGTGGGCAGAGTCAGGCTGGACTGTACCACCCACTGGTTCTTGTAAAAAACAGGGCTGGAAACAGAACTGACCAAGCGATTGCAACCACCAGCTGATTGGGGAGATGGGCTGTGCCGGGCCCTGTACTTGCAAGTGCACACAAGAATCTGGTCTGGGATCACCTCAGACAAAGTTTCTTTGGGGATCTCCCCAATCAAACTGCTGGATTCAGAACCCTAAACATGAAAAGACAGAAGACAGAATAAGTCAGTCAACCATCAACCACCTCAGCTACATGTTGGCAACAAAAAACAGGGCAAACGGAGACTCTAAGATGGACTATGTCAATCAGTGGATTCCTCAGCGACCTCATCGTGCTTGGAATGGCGATTGGCAATAATTCATAACTGCTGAACTATCAAAACGACTTGAGCAAGACCCTCGAAGCATCCCTCACATTGGGGATCAGAGGTGGGTGGGAAACTGGGTGGGGCTTCTCGCTCAATATCCCCCTTTACCTCAGATACATGAAAGAAAAAAACAAAGTGGAAATAGTCTTAACCACTTTCCTATTGCCCTTGAACCTTTTTGCCCTAATTAACTATGTAAAGACTGTTAAACATGTAATTAAAAAAATGGAAAAAAATAAGAGCGGCCAGCGTTGTGGCGCATCCCACCACGCCACTGTCTGTAGTGCCGGCATCCGATACGGGAACAGGTTCAATTCCTGGCCGCTCCACTTCTAGCCCAGCTCCCTGCTAACGGCCTGGGACGGCAGCAGAGGGTGGCCCGCGCCTGGGCCCCTGCACCCGCGTGGCAGACGCATAAGGGGGCGGCGGAGGTCCTCGTCCAGGGGCAGCAGGGACAGCAGGGACAGGATGCTATGAAACGAGGCACCCGAGGAAGCCAGGCCCTTCACGCCTCCCTCTCGGCCCACCACAAACCCTGTTGCATCTGTCCCTTCCCAAAGGCCTCTGGAAGAAAACGGTCAAACGCTCTGCTTGGAACGGAACTGTGCGCTGCAGGAGGGGTGACCGCACGCGGCCATCCCGGCCTGGGACACTGCCGGACCCGGGCTCACCCTGGCGCGCGTCCTGTTCCCTCCGCCACCGCCAGGCGGCGCCGCGGGGCGGCCGGCCAGGGCTGCGCGTGCGCGGAGCCTGCCCGGTCCTGCCGTCAGCGCCGGCGGCCGTGCGCCGTCTCCTCCCGGCATGAAGACGGCCGCGCAGGGAGCCGGCAGCGAGGGGCGGCCGCAGCGAGGCGTCTGCGTCCTCTGCGGGCTGCCCGCGGCCGGCAAATCGACCTTGGCGCGCGCCCTCGGCCAGCGGCTGCGGCGGGAGCGCGGCTGGGCCGTGGGCGTCCTCTCCTATGACGACGTCCTCCCGGACACGATCCTGGCTGGAGACGGAGCGGTGCGTGCGGGGCGGGGCCTGGGGAGGGCGGGGCCTGGGGCTGGCGGGCGGGATTACCAGGGGGCGGGGCCTGGGGCAGATGGAGTGGTGCGTATGGGGCGGGGCCTGGGGCGGGCGGGGCGGAGTCGCAGGGGCGGGGCCTGGAGCAGATGGGGCGGGGCCTTGCTGGGGGCGGAGTCGCGGGGGCGGGGCCTGGGCCGATGGAGCAGTGCGCATGGGCGGGGCCCGGGGCAGACGGGGCGGGGCCCGGGGCAGATGGGCGGGTCACAGGAGCAGGGCCTGGGGCAGGTGGGGCTGGGTTGCAGGGGCGGGGCCACTTCTGCTAGTGCACAGGCTGGGGTGGCCTGGCTGATGGCGAGTGTGCACTGCGTAGTGGACTAGGCCTGGTGGGGGGACCCCGAGGAGGCCGCCCAGGAGTCCTGCAGGCCGAGGGGACGGGGGACCGGAGCACAGCGGCTTGGAGGCTTGCGGGACCAGCGACCCAGGGCTCCGAGGGCAGTGGGATGGGACAGGGTAGAGCCCAGTGACCACCACCCTCCTCTTGGCCGTGGCCTGGTGTGATGGCGATTCTGGGTTCTTGGTTCTTTTGTAGCCATCCCGATGGAAGCTGCTGCGGCACGAGCTGCTCAAGTACCTGGAGTGCTTCCTGGCGGCCGTATCCAACGGCTGCAGGATGTCCGCCCCGCCCGGCAGCACCGAGGCCGTGTGGACCGACTTCACAGCCTGCCTGCACGCCCAGGACCTCGTCCAGCCCGCAGCCCCGGAGCCCCGGGCCGGCTACCCGTTAACCAAAACGGCGGCCTCTCGACCTTTGCTCTTGCTGCTAGATGACAACTTCTATTATCCAAGTATGAGATACGAAGTCTACCAGCTGGCTCGGAAATGTAATTCCAACTTTCCGTTTTTCTAAGCCATGGAGGCAGTGATTCGCATTGTCAGCATCCCTGGGCTCTCCAGCGGAAGGTTTATAGGGACCGCATTCCTTTGGGGTACCCGATGCTCGGGATTGCAAACGGAGTCTGCGTTTGTGCTTAGCTGTTCATTCTGCGGAGCATCACGTGGCTGATTGTGTGGTTTTCAACTGTTTGCAGATTCCTTGGGCTTTTGCCAGCTCTTTTTAGACTGTCCCCTCGAGACGTGCTTGCAGAGGAATGGCCTGCGACCGCTGGCACTGCCGACCGAGACCATCCGCCTGATGGCAAGCAGGATAGAAAGGCCCAACCCTGAGAAGAACTCCTGGGAACGCCACAGCCTCACAATCCAGGGTCCTGCCTGTTCCCCCGAGGCAAGGTACCCGCTGACCCCTTCGCTGTCCCAACCCCGGGACGGGCACCCTGCTGAACGCCTTCTCCTTAGCTTGGTTTACACTCCCAGCGGCGGTGGCACCCTGTGGGTGGAGAAGGAAGGCAGGTCCCTGGGCCCCTGGCGTCCCAGCTGGGAGCAGGTATCTCGCGGGTGTCCTCCAGAGGTCAGTGTGGGGAGTCCGTGGGCCTTCGGTGCGATGAGTGCTGCTGGGAGCTGCATGTGGGTGACAGGGCTCAGCCCCCTGCTGCCTGCCAGGAGCTGCATCTGTGGGAAGCTGGAGCCTGGCACTGAACCCACGTGGTCCAACATGAAACAAAAGCAGTGGGGCTGGCCTCTGCAACACCAGGCCAGAGACCCACTCCTTTGCCGATGTCTGTCCATTCTGTGCTCGCGGCCACTGAGCTGCGCGTTGCAGTTCTACAGTCCACAATTCCTCACGTGCCTGCCTGCTGTCCATGGGGGAAGAGCAGTTTTTCAAAGGCCAGTTGTTAAAACTTGTCTTTCAGAACATTTAGTTCCCAAGAGAGTTTCCCTACCTTCTATAAAACGGGCCTACTAGGAGGCCACATGGTGCCCAGCTGGGTCAACCTCCACCTGCCACGCTGGCATCCTCTATGAGCACTTACATGGCTGGGCCACTTCCAACCTGGCAGCAGATGGCCCAGTGCCTGGGTCCCTGTGCTCATGTGGACAGCCTGGCTGGAGCGCCCAGCCCTGGCTGTTGTGGGCATGTGAGGAGTGGGCAGATGGGAGCGCCCTCTGCCTCTTGACTAACTATATTAAAAGTTAAATTTTCAGTGTATCTTCTGGGAGAAGCTCCGAGCTACTGGCTGCATCCTGGCCCAGCCCTGCCAGCAGACAGTCTTTGGAAAAGAATCAAACAATAAAAGAAACAGTAAAAACAAAGCAAAAAGGAAAACACAAAACACCCCAACATTCAAATTGGATTTGGTTGGCCGTTTCCGGTGCTGTGCGGGAAGTGGCTCCAGGGAGATTCCGGTTTTAGCTTGTCGTGATCCCTGGAACATACCAGCTCCCTGCTGCTCCTTCTGGAGTCTAACAGGTGGTTCCGTGTCCTGCGAGAGCAGCGTAAGGTTTCCACTGCTGCTGCGAGAGCCTCAAGCTTGTCCTTCCCCTTACCACCCCCTGCAGTTTTGCTTGAGGTCTTTAGAACCTGGTCAGCTGGCGCTCAGAGCAGGCCCAGCACGGCCGTGAATGGGCCGCGGGACAGCCAGGGGCCCATGCTGGAGGCTGAATGATGACCCGATGGTCTTGACACTTCTTAGAACCACTCTTTGAGGGTAGAGCGCATGATGCCCATTTTATAGACCGGATAACTAAGACCCAGGTAGTAAGTAACATGACCCTGGTTGTTAGTGTCGGTGAAATTTGGACCCAGTACTATCTCACTCCAGGCCCTGGGCTCACTGTTTTTGTTTAAGATTTATTTGTTGATTTGAAGGACAGAGTTACAGAGAAGAGATTCCTCCCCACATGGCTGCAGTAGCGGGGCTGGGCCAGGCCAAAGCCGGGCGCCTACCTCCACCTGCGTCTCCTCTGAGTGGAGGCTCCAGCGCTTGGGCCGCCTGCTGCCTTCCCTGGCGCATTAGCTGCGAGTTGGGGCCAAGTGGAGGTTTCTGCTTTGGGACTGGAAGTGGAAGATTCCTTTTCTTAAATAATTCTGGGTTAGAGCAGCTTTACTCGTCTGAACTTCCGTTAGCATCTAAGTGCAAGTCCTTCACATACAGAGGCATCTCATGAGAACTGCTTGTATTTTTTTTTTTTTATTGTTTTATGTGACACAGTTCAATATAGGCACTGGGATTCCCCCCACCCCTCTCCCAACCCTCCCCCCATGGTGGGTTCCTCCCCCTGTTGCGCAGCCACAGTTCAGGTTTAGTTGAGATTCCTTCATTGCAAGCATACACCAAGCATAGAGTCCAGCATCTCATTGTCCGGTCAAGTTCAGTGGCTTCTTGGGGAGACCCTCCCCGGGCCGAAGGCAGAGCCAACAGAGTAGAATCCCGGTCAATTAAGAGCCCCAACATAACATCAGCAATGATATAACGTTAAGGGATAAATTGACAAAGTATTGAGCAACCAATTTGTCAAAATTGGATGCATGGTCTTAACAACTTCCTGTGACTATTTCAATGACATTTCAACAATTGAGGTGCGAAACAGTTTTAGGAAGGGTGTGCAGAGAAATCTTCCATACCTTGGTGAGGAGTACTTAATCCCCGTGTCCTACCTAGTAAGATGTGTGTGAGTCCATGCTGACCAAGCCTTCCTTGTTGTTCTCTGCCTATCCTTTCCAATTTGTGAGTGTGTGTGTGTGTTGGGGGGGGGGGGCTCTGGAGCGTCTCTCATGGTCATTGCAGAGAGGGTGGGGATCCGAAGTTGGAGCTAAGAAAGAACCAGAGATAGCTCCTCTCCCTAGTCCTGAAGGGAGTTTACTGTTCTGTTTCTGAAGACCGCTCAGGTTTCCTGGTTGTTGTTCCGATGGCCTTGGATCCTTTGATGAAGGATTCAGCTTCTTCCATCCCGTGTGGTAGGTCCAAAGGCGGGGGTTGGGGGGGTGTCCTCTGAGTTCTCGGCCTCCGAAGGCATTCCAGTCCCCTGTGGTCTCTTTGGCAGTTGGGATGTGGTCCGTGGCGCCCGTACTGATAGCCCTTGGTGGGGATCCGGGGGTCTCCAGGTTTGGGATACAAGCCTCCTCCTGTCCCCCTGCTCCACTCTGTGGTCCCCCACTGCTCTGTGCACATGACCTCCTGTTAATAGGTTGTCAGGGTCGCTCTTGATTCCCCCTGTATGTCTTTGTAGTTTTACTGTTGTCTATTGTTGTCTTGAATCTGTTGTCTACAAGTTACCTGTTATGTGTCTGAGAGGTTACACTACACGGCTTCCTCACACGTTCACAGGAGATGGAAGGTTTCTTTGCTCTCCCGCCCAAATTCTGAGTAGTAAAAGGTTTTGAAAATATATTTGGTTATACAATTTTAAAAACACATGGGTTGAGACCAAATTAGGTAGAGGTCCATCGGGGGAGATTTACATCATTGGGAATCTTTAGGGTTGATTCATGTACCCAAAGCCCTGAGGGTTCATCATGGAGCTTCCTAAGCAGCAATCATTCAGGCATGGGACGCTACTTGTCCCGGGGCCTTCAGCCCCCATGCCGTGGTTGGAAGACTACTTCCCCAGGTTCAAGCTCCACCCCCTCCTGGTCCTGTCCCCAGCTCAAGCCTGCAGGCGAGCAGTGAAGCAGTCGGACCCACTGCACAGAGCTCTGTGGGTAGTCCATGGCGCTCCGGCAAGCCTGATACCGGGCTACCTGTATTCTTATGCCACTTTCTCTGCAGCCCGGAAGTGACGGACTTGCTGCTGACTGCGATGGAGCATCCAGTGAAACACACTGAGGAAAACGTGGCGCAGAAGGTGAGTGACGGTGGAGGCTTCGGGCAGACGCGAAGGGGCAGCTTATCCCGAGAAGGGCTGGGTCAAGGGCCATTCTGGTGACCCGAGCGGCTGGGTCATGGGCCATTCTGGTGACCCGAGCGGCTGGGTCAAGGGCCATTCTGGTGACCCGAGCGGCTGGGCCAAGGGCCATTCTGGTGACCCCAGCGGCTGGGTCAAGGGCCATTCTGGTGACCCGAGCGGCTGGGTCAAGGGCCATTCTGGTGACATTCGCCGCCTTGCCTAGGGGCAGTGTGCTCGGGCTGGTGATGGCAGCGTGAAATGGACAAGGACCGGGCAGTTTACAGGAGCTGCCACACTCGCAGCTAGCGCCTGGCTTTCCCACAGCATGCCCTGCCTTGGTGGGCTCAGCTCGGCACCTCCAAACCCGAGCCACCCTACTGTATCACTGTTCCAACAGCGTCTGTCTTTCACAGGAAGCAGACAGGATTATTTGTTCGGCCAACATCCTTCACAAAGCTGACCAGACACTACGGAGAGTTGTCTCTGAGATAATGAAGGAAGCGAAAGGTGCGTGGAGTAGTTCCTGCCGTGTCCTTGATGTGATCTGATGCATTGGTGCTTTCTTTGGCACACAAGTACTTTACGAGAATTTTTATTTTAAGATCAATTTTATTTGTTTGAAAGGCAGAGTGACAGGAAGTGAGGGACATAGAAATTTCTGTCCACTGGTTCATTCCTCAAATGGCTGCAACAGCCAGGGTCAGGCCAGGCCAGAGCCAATGACCTGGAACTCTATCCGGGACTCTCATGGGGATGGCAGGGACCAAGGACCCTTGGGCGGGCACCTGTGGGGACCTGAGCCCTGGGGCCGGCACCTGCAGCCCTTGTGCCAGCACCTGCGGGGACCAAGGACCCTTGGGCCGGCACCTGTGGGGACCAAGGACCCATGGGCTGGCACTTGCTGTTTTGGCAGGGGCCTCAGCAGCATATTCAGTTGGCTAAATATATAAAAATATAAAATCCAGCCCTTGGAACTCGATGTTCAACCTTTCATCTGTCCATCCAGTAATGTTTCCTCAGTACCTACTCCACGCTTGCCCATATTACAGATGCTGAAGCAAGAGCACATTCTCGTGAGGAGACAGAGTAGGACTTTAACGTCGTGTTTGTATCCTGTGTATATATGTTGAGTAAGGCAGCATGGAGTAGTGGAAGGATTTCTCTTTCTTCCTTTTTTTTTTTTTCAGTTACAGATACTTACTCCCCAGCAGTCACAATAGCAGGAGCAGGCCTGGTTCAGACCTGGGAGCCAGGAGCCCTGTCTGCGTCTCCCACACAGGTGCAGGGCCCAAGCACTTGGGCCAGTCTCTGCTGCTTTCCCAGGCCATTAGCAGGGAGCTGGAATGGAATAGCCAAGACTCAACCTGGGGCCTGTATGGGATGCCAGCACCACAGGCAGAGGATTAGCCCGCTGCATCCTGGCCCTGCCCCTGACTTATTTCAGAAACATGATCAGGAAGGCATCCTGGCGACCTTTGAACAAAGGTGTGAAGTGAAAGCTATGAGCAAGATTGCTTCAGGGAGGGCATGGGCCAAGCGCAGGAGCGCAGAAGGGACGCTGTGTGTGGTGGCCTGGAACAGAAAAGCAGCCGTGAAGCACAAGGCGAGAAGAGAGGGCGAGTGAGGTTAGCAGCGTTTGGACGGGGTCGACATACTGTGCATTGGAACGCATGTACCAGCTGAGGTGTGCTGTGACTAGTTTTATAAACAATTCCTGTAGGTTTTGAACCTTGAATTCTGCTGTATAAAAAATGCTGCTGCTAGCATTTCTTTAGTGCTTTAAGTGTAAACGATTCCACCTGGAAGGTGTAACAGTACAAACGGGGCTTGACGGAGGCAGGACGGCTGCCGTGTGTTTGGGCAGCCTGGGATTCAGGGTCAAGTCTGATTCTAGTCTGCTTTCCTTCACTGCCTCTCACGTCAGTCCATTTCTACCTTTACAAAAGCTTAGGCAGGGCTGGTACGTGGCACCATGGGTTAACAGCTGCCTGCAGCACAGCCATCCCAGTGTGTGTTCTACTTCCTGCCCCAGCTGTTCCACCTCTGATCCAAAATGCTGAAGTCTTTGGGTCCCTGCACCCACAGATGGAGTTCCAGGCTCCTGGCTTTGGTCTAGCCCAGCCTCAACCGTTGCAGTCATTTGGGGCGTGAACTGCCAATGGAACATCTGTCTCTTCCGTTCTCAATAACTCTGGTTTGCCAATAAACCTGAGGGGGAAGATTAGCAAAGAGCTCAGGCCACTGGAACAGCAATTCTGTGCTACTAAAATTGTGTTTCTGACTTTTTTTTTAAAAGATTTATTTGTTTACTTTGAAAGGCAGTTAGAGGAGACAGTGGGAGGGACTCTTACACCTGCTGGCTCGCTCTCCAGCTATGGTCAGGAACAGGCCAGAGTCCGTTCATCTGCTTCTCTCACATGGACGGCAGCAGCCCAAACCTTGACCCCTGTTACTGTTCTTCCCAGGCCGTTAGCAGCAAGCTGGACCAGAAGTGGAGCAGTCAAGACAGGAACCAGTGCCCACATATGGTGCCAGCATCTCAGGTAGCAACCTTACTGGCTGTGCCATGATGCAGGCCCCTCAAACTTGATTTGTAACATGACCCCTTAGTTGGTTTTATATTGCAATTGTTTATAACTCACAGCACAAACTCAAGTGTCATGAGACACGTCACGTGATAGTGAACTCTACTGCCGCCCTGTGTCGCAGATAACACTGCTGGCCACTCACTAATGGGTTACAACCTAGTTTGAAAAACAGGACTGGAACAGAAAGGGCACGGTAATTAACAAGAAAGGTTAGATTCTTGTAAGGTTCTTGACATTTTACCATTCTGCCTATAAAACGAAGGGAGGAAAGGAAGAGTTATGCCAAAGCTTCTGGATTCGTTTCTGACTCATTTAAAAAGTCCACACTTTAGAGGACAGGGCAGATTCCAGGTCTGTGTTACATAAAACTAAACTTGGAGTTCCTCCCTGCCATCAAGAGTAACAATACAACCCACGCGGGAAAAAGGATTTGTGAACATGTCTCAAAGGAACTTGTTTCCAAAAGTATATGAAAATTCATAACAGTGATAAACACAACCCACCTGTTAAAAATACTTTAATTGGAAAGGCATATTTAGAAGAGAGACGGAAAATCTTCCATCTGCTGGTTCACTTCCCAAATGGCAACAGCCAGAGCTGAGCTGATCTGAGGTTGGGAGCCAGGAGCCTCCTCCAGGTCTCCCACCCGAGTGCAGGGTCCCAAGGCCGCCTCTGGGTCTCTAATGTGGGTACAGGGTCCCAAGGCTTTGGGCCGTCCTCTACTGCTTTCCCAGGCCACAAGCAGGGAGCTGGATGGGAAGTGGAGCAGATGAGACATGAACTCTGGCCCATAGGATGTGGCACTTGGAGGTGGAAGATTAACCAATTGGGCCATTGCACTAGTCCCAACCCCTTTTTAATATGGGCAAACAAGGCAGGCATTTGGCCTATTGTTAACACAGCATTTGGGATGCCTGAACCCCAACTGGAGTTCCTGAGTTCAAGTTCTGACTCCATTCCCACCTTCAGCTTGCTGTGAATGTAGACCTTAGGAGGCGGCAGTGATGGCTCCAGTGGCTGCATCCTTGCCAGCCACACTGGAGTCTTGTGCCTAGCTCCTGTTTAGCGTGACCCAGCCCTGCCCACTGTGGGCATTTGGAGAGTAAACCAGCTGATGGAGTTCTATCTCCTAAATAATTAAATAAATTCAGAAATAAAAATGGTTAAAGGACCTCAATACAGTTCCTTAGGGAAGACACAGGAGCACGAATAGCCGGTAATCACACAGGTCCAAGAAAAATGGAAAAGCCCTCATACAGAAACTTTGTGCACAGCGTTTACAGCAGCATTCTTCATAAAAGCCAAAAAGAGACAAAACGTGTCCCTAACACACAGAGTGGTATTGTCTGTCTCTAAAGTGACACTGTTGTGTGCTGCCACATGGAAAACTGAGAAAATGTGACACCTGAGGCCAGTCACAGAAGACCACACCTCAGCCATGTGTGGTGTCCGCCAGAGAGCCGGGACCAGAGATGATGGCGCCTGGGGGTCAGTGGTGGGGACAGAGGGCCAGGAGCAAGGTGATACATGAAGGGTTAGTTTTGGAGATGATAAAAAATACTCTAAAACTGGGCACGGCGACATGGCCTAGCAGCTAAAGTCCTCGCCTTAAACGTGCCGGGATCCCATATGGGCGCTGGTTTTAATCTGGCAGCTCCACTTCCCATCCAGCTCCCTGCTTGTGGCCTGGGAAAGCAGTTGAGGACGGCCCAATGCCTTAGGACCCCGCACCCGTGTGGGAGACCTGGAGGAAGTTCCTGGATCCTGGCTTCGGATCGACATAGCACCGGCCATTGCGCTCACTTGGGGAGTGAATCAACGGACGGAAGATCTCTGTCTCTCCTCCTCTCTGTGTATCTGACTTTGAAATAAAATAAATCTTAAAAAAAAAAAAAACTACTCTAAAACTGACAAGACACACGCTTGTGAATATAAAGAATTGTACGGTTTAGATGGGTCCGTTGTATGGCCTGTGGCCAACGGCTGCTCTGCTAAATAGAGCAGATACAGAACTTCCAATCATTCACATTCAATGTAACATGCTCTAGGTGTTGATCAGTTTCAAAATCAAATCATCATTTTCTGTTTCTGCTTTCAGTAAGAGAGTAATCCAGCCATTGTGGCTCTTGCTCTCATATGTCAGTGCAAGTTAAATCCTTCGAATTGTGACCACGTGACTCACTCACACGCCCTTTTATGAATATCGTAGGCCAACTCAACTGTTAGTCACGGAATTCGGTCTGTCTGATGTTATCAATTCCATTCTTTCTGGACTGATTTAATATGCACAGATAGTTTAAATGTATGGTTTCATTTCAGACGAGCAAGTTCCTCCTTCCAGCATGAAGCTTCTGGCAGAAGAACTTAACACGCTCAAAGCAGAGTTTCTGGAAGACCTACGACAAGGAAACAAAAAACGTCTACGCTTCCAACAAACCACTGATGTGTCAGACATCATTTCTGATTTTCACCATGAGAAACAAAACATTGTACAGAAGTATTTGTCAAAGTCACATTAAATTTTCTGAATTTTCAATTAAATGTCTGGTTTTGATAAGATTTTGCACACTGGTTAGTAACAATTTTATATACTCGATATTTTGTAGACTAGTCATGTCAACCGCCACAGAACATTCTTTAAAGAAAAGCAGCGCACTTGGAAATGCCCATCTGTCCTACAGGAGTCCCTGGTCAGCTGTCCCGCGGCTGACGACGCCTGGGAGCAGCCCTCCTCCCTGCCGCGCAGACCCTCTGAGTTGTCTGGGAGGACAGAGCCGCCCGAGAGGAACCGTGAGACAGGAGAGACCAGCTGCCGGCACACAGGGCCACTCGGGGCTTCTCACTTATAGTACAGCTCTGTTATGGATAAGGCAATCTGGACATCCAAGCTAGCACACTATAAAATCTTTATTAGCATTTTATATATCAGAAGATTGATAAAAACAAATTTGATCCTAATTTCAAAAGAAGGAAAATTGAGGTCATTAGAAAGTGTTATTTTTATTCATATATTACAAAAGCAAAGCTCATTCCCAATATGAACTACACACTAGATACAGTTATCTTAGCATTAAACTGCTTTCTGGAATCCCTAAATATAGTGTATTTAACAATAATGCAACTTATTTGTTTCTGCATACAAAATACGTTCTTTACATCAGAGTTCTTAACACACACGTGTTCTAGAAAGCATCCATCCTCTTAGACAAAGGAAAAGTCATTACCAGGGAATCCTAATGCCACAGCCATTTGATAGATATTTTCATAGAACTTAAAATGACACTTATGTTTTGAATTCTTTTTAGTAATGTTCCCTGTCAAGCAACTCTGCAGACCAATGGTAAAACACTTATTTCTAAAATGAAATAGCACTAGAAACAATGGAAATTTTTTCAAAGTAAAAGTCTTGCCTTTACTTTAATCTCAAGAAGTTATAGCTACATACATTAGTAAAATCTGAAATAAAATTATGCCCTGTTAATCTCTTCACAGTTTCTTAAAAAAATATCAGTGGAGATAAATTATCTACCAACTTTAAAAATCTAAACTTATGTTCACTGAACAAAAATAAATTTAGTTTCACAACATTGCCTTTTAATGGCAAATTACTATAAATAGTGCATGTTAAATTTCTCCCAGCAACTCATTTCTATAAAATATTCAATTAAAAATAAAATGAGAAACATTCAATATGTAAGGGAAGATATTGACATCTTTCCAAGTACAGAATTTAACTAAAGGGAAATTTAAATAAAACCCTAAATCTTCTAGAAAGTACAACACCAAAAAAGTTTAAGGTAGATCTGCTTCAAAAGTTTTAGTGCATTTACAATTATAGCTTTTCAGAATTGACACCTTTGGAATATTAACTGTGCTCTTTTCAGTAATGGGCGAATTACAAGACTACATTCTAGCCTGCAATTATAAAAACCTCCCATGTCTAAGTTAAAACGCTAAACCAACCACCTTTAGTTCAAAAAACAATGCTTTTGTCACTGCCCCAATCAACATGTTGGTTTACCCAGAGTTCTCCTCTTTGCTTAATGAATTTTTTTCTATTTTGCAGTATTGCTTTTCTTTGAATATAATAAAATAAATGTGCGAAAGCTTCCAAATGACAGCTTGTTTCTTTGTGGCAATCTGGTAAATACTAGAGCCAGTGATACATGTGGAACTTGTTGCACTAGAAGTGGTCAGAGCTGCTGGCAGTTTGAAGCCAGGTGGACCAGCTAGGGTTCCCGGGCCTGGACGAGGAGTCCACATGGAGAGTCCCTGCAGCTGCTCCTGACCCACGAGGATGCAGAGCGCATCTCCGTGGCTTCTTAGCACGGGAGGGAGGGTAAAGGATCCATGACCTTGGCACTTGGGGTTTATGGGCACATATCACCAATATGGCCTTCTTATTTCCTGTAATAGCGAGGTCCTTTTTTGGTTAAAAAATGCTTATTAACTGGGAAATTCTCAAGAGGCCAATTCATATTTTCAAGATATGAATCAAATTTAAGCTAGGATTTTTGCAAAGTACAAGAAACCAAGTTAGCAATCTATTTTATTGTTTGACCAACTCTCAACAGTAAGCTAGTTATCATACAATAGAAAAACAATAACCTCTTCAAAATGAATTCCTCTGGATTTAATAAGTCTTTTTATAAACACCATGTTTAAATGTAGTTTATATCTATTACCACAAGTTTTGACCCTTTCCTACTAAGGCGACAATTTCATCACAGTTCCCATACAGTGCTATAACTGTACATGAAGAGTGGTACAACTGGAAAGATTAGAGTTTGGATTCACAGAAAGCATTGAAATGGCCACCTGTGAGGCAGACATCAGAATCCACGTCGTTATTTATGCAGATGCCACTTCTCCGTCACCTTCTCCGTTGCGTTTCTTGGAAATTACACAATAAACGTATAGAAAGCAGAAAAAGGAAACTCGTACAGTTTGTTTTCCCCTAGGAAGGACTGTATTTTAATAAGACGGTGACTGTACCTCTTTGGTCATCAAAGAAACAGAACATAACAGATTCTCACTAGCGTTGCTTACTGACTGAACATCATTTGTCAGAATGAAGGATTAAATGAAAGGTTCAAACTGAAAGAGGGAAAAAGGCATTTAGCACTACCTGTGGTTTTAAAAAGAAGTTGGACGCGTTAAAAACAAGTAATAATGTTTGCCATGTGCTTAAACCAGAAATTGAAGAAACATCATTTTCAATTTCTAAAGTCTGGAGTGCAACTTCCTTGTAGAACTTTTATGTCAATATTTCATATTTCCTCTTGTAAGACATTTTTTTTTACCACACTGATAGCTTCAATGTCATCAGCTGAAATGAAACCAGTGACTCAGCCTCACTTACGTGAACCAAAAAGTCTTTCAGTTAAGAGCAACCCTAAGAACAATTTCTTTGCTAAATACTGAAAAAAAAAGTTGTAACAGATCTTATAAGAGAAAATATTCTCTAATGTTGAAATACGGCAGAAGTAGCATTTTAGCTGCAATGTATAGAAACAATGAGAGCACGGATTGACCGAGGAAGTCCTTCCGGGTCAGAGGTGGGAATGAACGCCTAATGAGGTTACGACTGAACTCCAATCCTCACTTCTACACAAACGGAGACCTCAGTGTATCTAACTGTGCTAATATGTAAGCAACCAAGCCACATTTTTATGGAAAAAAATTGGAAGAAAATTTTCCACTGTCAAATTTATAGTATATAAATATAATGTATGAATTTAAATTAGCCGACATCTTACTAGGGATGACCAAACAAAACAAAAACAACCAAACTACGAAAGACGAAAAGGCAAAACCAAGTAGAACATGATGTGACAATGTTCTGATCAGTGCTGGCTATGCTGTCCTCTTGCAAAATGACAGGCAAAGTCATACTTGTTTTTACACTTGCACCCACATATATTACACTGGAAAGGGTTTTCATACCCATGGCATCCCATGTGGATGGTGTAGAGGATGTTGTCTGCAAAGTACATGTCACAGTGCTGGCAGTGGTGCAGCAGCTGAGGGTCCTGGACTGGCAGGGTTGGGGCCGGAGTGCTCGGCTGGCTGTTTCCTATGCTGGGAGTACTCGTGTGGGCACTTGGTTCACTGCTCGGCCCTGCCACTGGACTGAAGTTCCGTGGGCCATGCGATGGCCGCGGCTCGGGGCTCGTGGGAGAGGAGCTCTGAGGAACACTTGCCGACACGGCAGAGACTACTGCCTGGGCGGAGGGCTGCTGGATCAGGAAAGGCTTTTCGTCAGGGCACGGGACCACATCTGGGGACTCCGGGTTTTGGTTTTCAGGAGGCAAACTGGACAGCTGCCCTGCTAGAGTAGAGAGCTGATTTAAAGGGTTGTCAACCATGAGTTCTTGGGGGTCCCTCGGGAGGCCACCAGTTGGAGTGGGCTTTGCCATGCTTTCATAGGAATCAGTCTGGATATTGGGGATTTCGTGGGTAAAGTCGTTAAGGTAGTCTGGTTTCTGGACCACCATGGAAGGTGGACTTAAGTTGATTAACGCTCTTCTGCTATACCCCAAATTGCCTGTTTTCTTCTGTAAAACCCCCCACATTTTCTTGGTGGTTAAGGAAGACCTGGTACCTTTAATCGGTACCATCTTATGTTTGCGCCTTCGGTGATGGGACAGGTTACTGCGATCACTACAGCGGAAGGAGCACAGTTCACATTTGTACGGTTTCTCTCCAGTATGGGAGCGCATATGGGCTTCCAGGTGACGCTCATAAGCAGATGCAAATGGACACAAATGACATCTATGAGGCTTCTCACCTGTTCCAACAGAAACACAGAAGAAACTGTAATCGCAGCTCATTATGCAAAATTTCACGTTTGTTCATTCATTAGATTCAGAAATTGATGGAAAATGCTTTTGCAGGATTTGTACTGCAGAAAAGATTTAACATTTGTGAAGAAACTCACAAACTGAATAAAGATTAAGAACTCTTTAACAATTTGAGATATAAATACATTTTCTATTAGCCAAAAAAGTATGAAAATTGTTGAGGCCTATGGTCTGACAGGTTAAGCCGCCACCTATAATACTGTCACCCACATGGACACCAGTTCGAGTCCTGGTGGGGCCACTTCTGATTTAGCTCCCTCCTATTGCACCTGGGAAAGCAGTGATGGATGACCCGAGTGCTTGGGGCCCTGCACCGCGTGGGAGACCCGGCTAAAGCTGCAGGCTCCTGACGCTGGCTTGGCCTGGCCAGCCCCGGCCACTGCGACCATCTGGAGAGTAAACCAGTGGGCAGAAGATCTCTGTTTATCTCCCTCTTTGTGATTCTGCCTTTGAAATAAACAAACAAACAAAATACAGCTCCAAGTGGCCTGAATATTCTGAACCAGTAGATGGAAGAGTTCTTTCTCTGTGTTTTGTCTCTTCTCTCATGTCAGATAAATAATACATGTTTTTAATAAAAGCCTTAGCAGTATGTCTCATGATTTATTCACATAAACATTTATACATATTCCTATTTACCCAAACACATATGCATGCCCTGTCCTTAAGTAAACACAGAAAAATCCATCTTTCATTAAATAAAACCCACAAAATCAGATGGGCTTCCGCGCCCAAGTAGGCATAACGCACTAGTGTCCCCTGCAAATTGCCAACACTTCTCCACCCTGAAACTCCTCACCTGCCAGAGCCATAGCTGCAATTAGCACAAGACTAGCAGATCCACAATAAACATCTGCAGTACGAGATGCGGAGTCCACTCACGCTGAGCCAGATGCTGGGTGCACAAGGCTGGCCTGTCACAATCCCCGTCTGCAAGAGGCTCGCAGACCACCACGGTGTGATGCCAGAGCACAGGCTGGCACGAGGCACAGTGACCCCAGGCCTGGCCTTGGTGGGGCAGGGCACAGGCTGGGGAAGGTTCTCACAAGAGAGGATGGCTAAGTGAGACCTGCAACTGTCCAGAACCTCCTGCCTGTTCCACAACGGACACACATTAGTGAGGACAAAGACGAAAATGTGAGGCCAGTATGGCAGTGCAGCAAGCCAACCCTCTGTCCACAGCCCCAGCATCCTGTATGGTGTCAGTTCATGTCCCAGCTGCTTCACTTCAGATCCAGCTCCCTGCTTGCGGCCTGGGAAAACAGCAGAGGATGGCCTAAGTCCTTTGAACCCTACACCCGCATGAAAGACCCAGAGGAGGCTCCAGGCTTCAGATTGGCTCAGCTCCAGCCATTGTGGCCATTTGGGGAATAAACCAGCAGATGAAAAATTTTTGTCTTTCCCTCTCTATAAAATCTGCCTTTCCAATAAAAATAAATAAATAAATGAATACATTTAACAGAGAGAGGAAGATCTTCTATCCACTGATTCATTCCCCAAGGGGTCACAACAGCTGGAGCTGAGCTGATCCAAAGCCTAGAGCCAGGAGCTTCTTCTGGGTCTCTTAGGTGGGTGCAGGGTCCCAAGGCCTTGGGCTGTCCTTGACTGCTTTCCAAGGTCACAAGCAGGGAGCTGGATGGGAAGTGGAGCGGCCAGGACTCGAACCGGGACCATATGGGATCCCAGCACTTGCCAGGCTAGGATTTAACCACGAGCCACTGCTCCCTGCCATCAGCACTACCCTCCCTTTCTGGGAGACATCACCAGGATGGGGCAGCAGAGGGGCGGAGGCGGGGAGGGCGCTCTCGAGCTGCACGTCTGCCCTGCCTGTCCACTGCCTGTCAGGAGTTGTAACCTACATATATCATGAAATAAGCTTTTCCATTTAGTCCACGGTGACATCACCTACACTTTGAACTTCTGGAACTACTTACAGGACAGACCAAGCTGCCCTAAAGAAGTGCCTTCTCCAGCTGTTTCTCCATTACCTGTGTGGATCCTGATGTGTTCAATGAGCCGGGCTGTCCCTTTGCTGGCATAGTTGCAGTACCGACACTTGAGCTTGCCATCAAAGGTCCTTTCAAACCCGTCCACTAACATTCCTGAGTTTTCATCCAGAGACACTTCAACAGATGGGTGATCAAGTCCATTTTGGTCACCATCTGTTCCAGCTATAAACACAGGACAGAAGAAGAAATTATGCATCTCAGCGTCAACTCAATTTAGTATTTTAAAGTGGCTGAAAATCTTCCTGAAAGCGACAGTTCACGTCCCACAAAATGTCAATTCATGATGTAACACACACTTTCTGAGCTGAGGCTAATTTTATGCAAAGCAGCACTGTGAGAACCTTGCATGCTGGGATCTCACCACCCCCCACAATCAGATCAGTGTTCAAAATCCTCTGGATAAACCAGTGAGGAGACGGGAGGGCGTGATGCTCACGTGTTCAGGATTGCAGCCATGCAGGACAGGAAGAGGACCTGCACTCTGACCCAGCACGCAGCAGTGCCACCCTCCACAAGCCAAGCCGTGCTCCAGCCCCTCTGCAAGAGACCAGTCGCTCTGCCGTGTGCTACTGGGCTGCACTGTGAGGCCCAGGCTCCTACCTCGCACCGCCCAACGAGTCTCAGATGTAGACTCTGCATGAATCATTAAAGTTACGAGGCTTTCATTAAAATCCATTCTGATCCCCTAGATCCGGGGCGGGCCTGGAGCTCTGTAGTTCTAACAAGCGCCTAGGTGATGTCTCGCCCTGCTGTCAGGGCTCAGCGAGCTTCTGTGGAGGCTTTGCGTGCCACTTGGTCTCTATTACAACTACTCAGCTACAGAAAACAGGTAAACAAATAACCATGCTGTGTTCCAACAACACTTTATTTATATACGTGAAATTTCTATTTCTACACGTAAATGTAATGACACTATTCTTTGATTTTTTTTCAGACATTTTAACATGCAAAAACCATCCTTAGCGTATAGACCATACAGAAACAGCAGCCTGCATGCGCAAGGCCCACAGGCTGTAATCCAGTGACCTCTCACACACTTCACGACTACACTCCAGTCTGCGCGGTGTGCGAAGGAAACTGCACACGTTGCCCAGCAGGCTCAGGCACCTGCTGCCTTCTCTACTGCAGTTCCTCTTCCTAGATGGCATACATGGCCGGCCCTTGCTTCACTTCAAAAACAAACAGAATTTCCTATTTGGGGCTCAGATCTGATCCATGTTCCCTGACAGCTGACGTTCTGCTCCCCTCTGGGGTCCCTGAGTTTACTAGCAGCTAGCAGAGCCTGGAGATCAGGGGATCTCCACTGAGAACTCCTAACGTGCCAAGAACACGAAAACACACGCCTAGCTCATGTTCAGTCTCTCCTCTGGCCAAAAGCCAACACATGTGAAGACAGGAGTATCTTTCTAAGAAAAAACAAAACAGAAGGATTCCCAGTAGTGAAGGGGTCTTCCCCCGAGGGGCTTCGTCAGCCAACACCCGTCCGTGTCTAAGCGCTGTTATGTAATAGCATCAAGGTGCGTGTACCTCCCTGGAGAGCCTCGGCCTCCTTGTCCCCGCTAACCGAGCCGGAGATCATGTTCACATGGTGGGTCTGCTGGGTCAGGTACTCCTGAAAGTCTTTCACGAAGTCCAAAGGCTCTGGTTTCTTTTCACCCATCTTTGCTGGTTTCTCTCTCTCTCTTTTTTTTAAGTTTATAGTCTGTTATACCTAGAAAAGAAACTGAAATAATTTTATGCTATTTAGGGAGATACGGTACATGACAAAACAGTAACAAAAACTATTTTGTGCAAGACACTAAACAAAACAACAGAAAATACAGAGCCTGCCTTCTAATCTCTCAGGCAAAATAGTAAAGAAACATACAAAATGGGATAAAAAATTACATTTGATAATTAAACTTAATCATAGGGGAAGGGGTCAGCACTATGACTCACTGGCTAAATTATCACCTTACAAGTGCCAAGATCCCAAATGGGCGCCGGTTCGTGTCCCAGCTGCTCCACTTCCCATCCAGCTCCCTGCCTGTGACCTGGGAGGGCAGTGGAAGATGGCCCAAGGCCTTGGCACCCTGCACCCACATGAGCGACCCGAAGAGGCACCTGCTTCCTGGCTGCAGGTTGGCTTAGTTCTAACCATTGTGCCCATTTGGGGAGTGAACCAGAGGCTGGGGGATCTCTCTGTGTCTCTTCTTTGTAAATCTCATCCACCTTTCCAATAAAAACAAATATTTAGAAAAGAGGAAACAAACAGGATGAAAGCAATGTGTGGCAGAGATAATCAATGAAGAAACAGTCAATAGGTTAAAGGGCTATCTAGAATTTTCCACAGATGATAAACAAGCTGCCCATCTGTACTGCCCAGCACATTTGCTACCTGCCACATGTAGCTACTTAGTAGCTGAAAGTGTTTTATACAAACAACTTCACTTTTTACTTTAAGTTAAAACAACCACATATAGTTGGTGACAACCAACACGCACTGAGCTCACAGGCACGAGTGTTGTACAAGCAGGTGTTCCACACAAGCAGTGGCAAACTTCTCCTCCAAGGCCACGTGGCACATACTTCAGGCCTTGCTGGCATGTGGCAGACATCCTCAACTTATACGTTTTCAAATTCACAATGGCGCATTCAGAAGAAACCACATTTCACATTCTGAGGCTGGCCCTTCTTCAGGCGACGGACATGCTGAGTGATGGTCCCTCCAGATGCAGTGCAGGGCAAAAAACGGATCGCCAGGGGCCGTTCCCCCATCACCAAGGAGTCAGGGTGCCATGTGCTAAGCCAGGAGCTTCAACTGCCAACATTCATGAAATGCACTGTCAATGTACAGCGGGTTCACTGCAACCCGAGCGCAGTACAAGGGAAGGACTATGTTTAATACACTTTATAACACCAGGCAGATATGGCCTGCAAGCCAGCGTCCCAACACCTACTCTAGAAATAGCCAAACTACTGCCTGTGCCACCCATCATCCCATGCCCTCCGAAACCGGAAGGGGAAAAAGAAACAAAATCCCTGATAGCAGCATAGATGGGGAAATCTCGTGGGAATAATTACACCTGCTCCTCACAAGGCGTGTGGTCCAAGCTCATAGATGAAATAACCAGAAAGTTCTCCAGTGAGAACAAGAGAGAGGACAAAAGACATTTTAAAATATTTCATGTAAAAATATTTTACGCAAAGAAATCTGATCCTCCTTAACTGTACATTATGTTCAAATTTACTATTTTAAGAAATTCCACTTTGAGCACCAATCAGCTAAAATTAAAAATTACACTCTTTTCAGCATATGTTTAATTTTCCTTTAAATTTAGCATATGTGCCGAAAGATTATATTAAGTGTAGAGAGCACTAAACCATCACCACGGAGTCGGCAGCAAGACGGAGAAGTGGGGCTGCCCGCGTCCTGGAACCCCCTGGCGTGCCCTTGCAGCCCCCGGGGACTCGTGGAGCTGCCACCAACCTGCTGCTGCTGTCTGAGTAGCTCTGTACACTCAAGGTCATGTAAGTGGAATGCTACACGGTGACCCCGCGGCTTCTGTGGCTCTACATCCTGATGTACACCCCGCTCCACCTGCGTGCTTTCCAGTCACTGAATATGCCTGACAGCGCTGCAACAAGTCCAGCTAACTTATCTAATCGTACAGTGAATAAAGCTCCTATAAACACATCTCTGTTGGTCATAGAGAAGGAAATGAAACTGCTGGGCCAAAGATACACACAGACTCAGCATTAAATATACCACACACTTTCTCAGAGTGGACAACAACTTCTGTCCCACTGCAGGAAACAAGCTGTGGCTGAGCACCCTCACCAGCACTGGGGCACCACACATCCTCACCAGCACTTGGATACCACGTACCCTCACCAGCACTGGGGCTCTCGAGTACCTTCACCAGCCTGGGGCACTGGGCACCCTCACCAGGACTCGGGCACCACACACCCTCATGAGAGGACTCAGGTACCAAGCACCCTCACCAGGACTGGGGCACCGAGCACTCTCACCAGCACTCGGACACCAAGCACCCTCACCAGGACTGGGGCACCGAGCACCCTCACCAGCACTCGGACACGGAGCACCCTCACCAGGATTTGGGTACCACGCACCCTCATGAGGATTCAGGTACCAAGCACTCTCACCAGCACTCGGACACGGAGCACCCTCACTAGCACTCGGACACCACGCACCCTCTCTGCTCTGGGGCACTGCGCGCCCTCAGCAGCACCGGGCACCCTCACCAGCACTTGGGCACTGCAGCACTGTTTTCCTTTGCCATTTTAGTCTTTGTGGTAGGTTTGAGCTGGAATTACACCTGTTATAATTTGTTGATTTCTTAATGATTAGTCAAGCTGCATATCCTTTAACACGCTCATTAGTCATTTAGACAACCTCTTTCATCACGTCAGCTTCCTTCCCATTTTTTTCCACTGGACTCTCTTCCTACGGGTATCAGGTCTGTTCTAAAGATGTTCTACTCCACAGGTGCCTTTGTTCTCTTTTTACATTTATTTATTTTTATCAGAAAGGCAGATTTACAGAGAAAAAGATATTCCATATGCTGGTTCACTCCCCAAGTGGCTGCAATAGCCAGAGCGGAACCGATCGGAAGCCAGAAGCTTCTTCCGGGTCTCCCACGCAGGGACAGGGTTCCCCTCTGCCTTCCTGGGCCACAAGCAGGGAGATGGATGGGAACTGGAGCGGAACTGGCACAGCCAGGATGCACACCAGCAACCATATGGGATCCTGCAATTGCAAGGGGAGGATTTAGCCACTGAGCCATTTCACTGGGCTACTTTTTCATTCTCCTAATTTTAACTTTTGATAAACAAAAATTCTTAATATAGCTCAACTTATTAATTTCCTTTGTATTTAGAGCTGCGACCCATTTAAGAAATCTTTGAAGATGTTCTGTAGTTCTGCACAGATGTTCTGTAAAAATTTCTTCCAGCTTCCATATTTCTTTTAATCTGGAATTCAGTTTTGTGTATGGCACCAGCGGAGTTGAAACATACTTTTTTCCAGGGAGATTTTCAACCCCAGCAATATGCATCTTCCACCAGCCTCCGTCTACTGGCTTGGTGTCACCTTGAGAAAGCAGATGGTCAGGCCTGGAGCTCGTTTGTCCCAAAGACTTGTGGTCTATTCTCGCAGCCGTGCCACACAGCCTTAACACCAAGCACCTGAATCTCAGTAACTTAACTCTACCATGGCTTTCTTCTTCAATAACATCTCCACTATCCTGGGTCCTTCTCAGCCTAAATTTGTGTCACTGAGGAGTAAGGAATTTCCACAAAAGCAAGCACACTTCCCAGTTCATGAAAACATGAAATTCTTTCAAACAATCAACACTGCACTGGGACCTGAACAGGTGGCATGAGCCAGCCACCCTGTGTTAGTCACTGTGCTGGGCACCCATGCAGGGGCCAGGCAGGCTGCCTCATTTATCCTATTGTTGACTCCTCCCAGACTGGTAATTTCTAATTCTCTTCATCCTTCCTCATACCCAACTTGCTCTCTTGTGAACACAGCCAACAAGGATCTGCAAGGCCGGAATTCTCACTGTTCAACACAACTGCCTGTGAATAGTTCTTTTCTCTCTTAACTGCCCAAGGGTTTTAAATACATCATCATAAGCACTGTGTTTTTCACTATTTTCCAGAAAGTGGAGGTTGCTCAGAGCCTGTACTGTAATAACTTTCTGTGAAGCCAAAGCCAGCAGCTTTACATTTCCGATCAGGAAGGGACCCCTCTCCACCTTCACTTCCACGTGGTAAAGCAGGGACAGCCACTGGCAGTGCTAGTTTCAGTTCTGCAGGTAAAGCTGTTCCAGCGTGAGCAGCACATGCTAGGCTTGCAGACAACGCTGCTTCTTCGGTTAATTATTTTTGCAACAACAAAAAAAGTCATGACTTGGATTAAGAAAAACTTCTCTTTGCTACCAGTTGATCAGTTTAGCTGCAAAACATTCCAAACCTCTACCTGCCCCTTAATTACAACCAAACACGGATGCGCCATTTAAATCTCGTTAATTTATAAATGCTAATTAGCAATTTCCTAAAACTGCCTCCTTATTTTACTTTTAGGCCAATTCTGTAAGTGCCTGCTTTTGCCCAGCTGAATTTTCTCAATTTTATGGGTTACTGTTAGCTTTTGGTCAAGTTTATTTCATGCCTCCCTACCCCCGTCTCATAGTCAGCTCTGTGCTGCTCTACTGAACACCGCACACAGGTCATTTACAAGGAACAAAGGCTTGTGAGCACGGACCTGCAAAGTTCAAGCTCATCTGGCGAAGAAGGCCTCCTCACCGCACCAGACCCGGCATGGAGTGTCCGGGACAAAGCACAGCAAGCTGCTGGCTGCAACCTCTCATCAAAGTCCCTGGGCCAGGGTCCACCCAGACGGCCGCACCTCTTGCCAAGACCCTCCCAGGGGTCCTACCTCCAAACACCACTAACACAGGAATTAACTCCATTAACAGCATTCTGTCGGGAAACTCATTAAAAGCCACAGAACTTCCCATGTCTGCTTGAACTGCTGATTTCCTAATCATTGTACTGCTGTGTTGTGTGGCCAGAGCTGCTTCTAATACCTGCTCTTTACATTTTTGATCTTCAGTTAGAAAAGCAGTTAGCCAGCTTCAGTGGAAAAATTACCAAGAATAAAAATCAAAAAGTTGTTTTTAAAATTGCAAGCCCTGAGGCTGGCATGGTGGCACT